CCCCTCCCCTGCTGCCCCTCCCCTGCTGCCCCTCCCCTGCTGCCCCTCCCCTGCTGCCCCTCCCTGCTGCCCCTCCCCTGCTGCCCCTCCCCTGCTGCCCCCCCCTGCCCCTCCCCTGCTGCCCCTCCCTGCTGCCCCTCCCCTGCTGCCCCTCCCCTGCTGCCCCTCCCCTACTGCCCCTCCCCTACTGCCCCTCCCCTACTGCCCCTCTCCTGCTGCCCCTCTCCTGCTGCCCCTCCCCTACTGCCCCTCCCCTGCTGCCTGCCCCTCCTCCCCGCCCCCTCCCCCCGCTGCTCACCTTAACAGTCAGGTGCTTAACGGGCACGTCAGCAAAGGGGCTGCCGAGGGTGTCGTTGAGCACGCGAGTGCCGTCAGTGCTGATGGAAACAAGATCGCCCAGAGGCACGCTGTACCCCACTCGGAACGTTACGGACCACCCGCCCAGAAGCGGATACCGAGGCTCGATCTCCAGCTCGGCCTGAGGTTCGGGAAGAACGGCTCGGAAAGAGAGGTTCGGGGGAGAAAAGGGAGGTTTGGGGTTGGGCGTGCGAATGGATAAGGATAAAGGTTGAGAATGACGCGTGGGGAAACATGGGAATTACTTTTTGAGAATTTCCAAAAGAAGGATGGGGGTAAGATACAGGTCGAGATGAGAGTGGGGTGTCGGTGTGAACATGGGAAGAGAACATTAAAACATGGCACCCATTAGCACCCATTAGCACCCACCAGCACCCCATCCGCACCCACCAGCACCCCATCAGCGCCCACCAGCACCCCATCAGCACCCTGCAGCACCGCACTGCACACCTTTCTGGGCGGGTATCGGAGGTGCGAGGAGATGTTCCCAATCTCGTCCCTGTAATACACCACGTGCGCCCTCTCCGGCAGCACTGCCATGAGCCCCCTCTCACCCACTAGCACCGCACTTACACCCACCAGCACCCACCAGCACCCACCAGCACCGCACTTACACCCAACAGCACCCACCAGCACCCATTAAAACCCCGCCAGAACCCAGCAGCACCGCACTGCACACCTTTCTGGGCGGGTATCGGAGGTGCGAGGAGGAGATATTCCCGATCTCATCCCTGTAATACACCGTGTGCGCCCTCTCCGGCAACACTGCCATGAGTCCGCGCAGAGACGAGACGCCTATGGCCATGGGACGGTGTTGGTAGTCCAGACTGGAAAATATGAGAACAGCAGGAGCGTTGGAGAGGAGAAGGGGAAACGGGAGACGGGAGGGGTGTGGCAGGAGTAGGGGCCGTGGGATTTGGGTTAAGTCCAGTGTGCGCCCTCTCCGGCAGCACTGCCATAAGCCCGCGCAGGGACGAGACGCCGATGGCCATGGGACGGTGCTGATAGTCCAGACTGGGGTATATGGGAACAGCAGGAGTGTTGGAGGGGAAGGGAAGAAAGTGCAGGGGCAAGGAGGAGTGTAACGATTAGGGAGTTGGGTTAAGTCAAATGCACCACTCTCAGGCAGCACAACCATGAGCCCGCGCAGAGACGAGACACCTAAGGGGCGGTGCTGGTAGTCCAGACAGGTGGGTTGGGGAGAGGAGGGAGAGGACGGGGGAGGCGAGTTGGGGTTTGGCAGGAGAGGAAGGAAGTGGAGAATCTGGTCTATACTCCAGTGGGGTCAAGTGAGCCCTGCCATGAGTCCGAGCAGAGACGGCACGTCCATGGCCATGACAACAGTGCTGGTTGTCCAGACTTGAGTATATGGGAACAGCAAGAGGGTTGGAGAGGGGAGGGAGAAGAGCAGGAAGAGTGGAGGGAGGGAGGGAGGGAGGGGAGCAGGAGGAGTGGAGGGGGGAAGCGAGAGGAGTAGGAGGAGTGGAGACACTTGTGGTAATGTGAGGTGCATTGGCTTTTGAGGCGCCTCAAAAGGCGGGAGGAGTGGAGGGGGGAAGCGAGAGGAGCAGGAGGAGTGGAGACACCTGTGGTTATGTGTGGTGCATTGGTACCTTCTTCTTTTGAGACGTCTCAAAAGACACCGATGGCTATGTGCGGTGCATTGGCACTTTCTTCAGCGAGAATGAGGCTGGAATCGTCGGGATCAGCGAGACCCTGACAAGAACTACACGGTGGCAAGAGCGAGTGCCACTTTGAGAGGCTGAAAGACGTGAACAAGCACTGTTTGAGCTGAAACATGCGCTGGAAAAAAACGGAGGAGGCGTTGGTAAAAGTTGCGAATTAGGGATGCCGATTGGCGGAGGTGGGAGATTGGAAAATCAGAGCTGAAAAAGTCAGCTTGAGCTGAACAAGCGCTGCTTTTCCATCCTGCAATTCCGCCAGTCTACTCTCAAACTCTGCAGCTCTCATCAACGGCTTCTCCGTTTTGCCAGCGCTTGCGTTAGCTGAAACAGTGCTTGTTCCGGCCTCTCAGCCTCTCAAAACAATTCTCTCTCTTGCCGCCGTATAATTCTTGTCAGAGCCTTGCTAATCCTGCGATCGGCAAGTCCAGCCTCATTTCCGCGGAACAAAGTGCCTGCGCAGGGACGAAATACCTATGGTCATGAGGTAGTGTTGATAGTCCAGACCAGGAGATACAAAGTGAGGGGATTAGTAGATGCAAAGTGGGGCACATAACTGGTTAGTCACCACAAAATACTGGAGAGATGCCTCTAAACCAATCGGTAATCACAAACCCCTTTTTTTGGCATTGAAACATCCTGAAATTTGTCAATCATTACACAACCGTTCTTCTGTATGCATAACCATTTTTCAGGCGCCTAGAAAATCCTTACACATAATTGTCGAAACATGAACATGCCTCTCACCCTCTCTTCCTATCCCCTCCACTTCTTACCACAAGAAAATGCCCGTGTGCATCTCGCCCGGGTGCCACATGGTAATCCTCCGTCACATACACATTCCCCCCGTGCAACAACTCCTAGTCCCTTTCCTCCATACCTCCGCCCTCTGTTCCTGCCCTCACACGCCCCTCTCTCACCGGGAGAACATGCCCGTGTGCTTGGCGCCCGAGTGCACGAGATGGTAGTCCTTCGTCACATACACATTCCCCCAGTGCGAGATCTCGTACTCCCTCTCCGCTCTTCTATCTCTGCCTTACCATGAAACCCATACCTGCACACGCACCCTCTCCCACACGCACTCACCGTGAGAACATGCCCGTGTGCTTGGCCCCCGAGGGCACCAGGTGATAATCCTCCGTCACATACACATTCCCCCAGTGCGAGCTCTCGTACTCACTCTCATACGCCTTTCCTCCGTGCTGTGCATTCCTTGCCATCAGACTCATACCCTTACATGCATCCCTGCCTCCACACACACTCACCGGGAGAACATGCCCGTGTGCTTGGCGCCCGAGTGCACGAGATGGTAGTCCTCCGTCACATACACATTCCCCCAGTGCGAGATCTCGTACTCCCGCTCCGCGCGCTCAAACAGCGGGAACGGCCGGTTGTTCTCATAATGAACCAAAAGCGACGACACCGCCCCGGCATCCACCCCCTCATACGGCCCCAACTTAATCTCCGAGTCCGCCTTCTTGGAAGGTTCCAGCGGCGTGAACGACTCGATCTGGTGGCTAGGGAGGCGGAGAACGGTGGTCTGCGATCGGACGGGGTATGGAGAGGTGAAGTAGTGCGAATCCTGGAAGAGAACCAGCTGCGGATCCGCCTGGGAGATTTCAGCCGGGTGAGGCGTGAGAGCGTTGATTATCACAAAGTAGCATTCAATCTGAGCGGTTTTCCCGGGTTCAAGCGGCGTGGGCAGCTGCGCTTTAAAGTAGATCGCGTTTTCGACCGGGGAGTCCGGAGTGGTGGGCGTGAGGGAAAGTTCCTGGAAGGTGCGGCTCTTGGCCTTGCCCTGCAGGAGAACAGCTGTGGCGAAGGCGAGGCGGCCGGGCGGCGGGACGAGCAGGGCGAGGGTGACCGATGAAGCAGGCGTTGACCCCGCGTTCTCCACCTGTAGACGTTACAATAGAAGCAGAAGGAAGACAGGGAACAGAGGTATTGGGAGGAATTGGGTAGGTTTGGATTGGAAGGGCGAGGGTGACCGATGAAACAGGCGTTGACCCCGCGTTCTCCACCTGTAGACGATACAATAGAACCTAAAGGAAGAGATGGAACAGAGGGATTGGGAGGAATTGGGTAGGGTTGGATTGGAAGGGCGAGGGTGACCGAGGAGACAGGCGTCCACCCAGCGCTCTCCACCTGAAGGTGACGGAATTTTCAGAAGAAAGAGAGATTGGAAGGAGCGCGTTATGCACCTATAAGTGACAGAATGAAGGGATTGAGAGAGGATAAAAAAAAATTGAATGGAATTGGGAGGAGTTGGAATGGCAAGGGTAGGGTTGAATGACCAGAAAGGTCATTGTTGGAAAGACTCGGCATGGTGAAACTAGGGAAAAAAGAGAACAGAAAACTAGAACCTTCTGAGAATCTCGGAACCAGAGGACTTGGAGCAATAAAAAGGGCACGAAGTACTGGAGCAAACTCAGTTCAGCAACGTGTCAGCATCAGAACCCTCATGGCATGTGCTTGTCTCCACTACAGTACGGCACGGATAGCGCCCTGCTGTGTCCGAGCCCTTGCGCAATTCAACATGAGACTCATCATCTGCTGCAGCTGTAAGGAATGAACGCCTTCTAAGACATTCGAGCCTTCAAGACATGCGCGCATGCTGAGACATGCGCGCATGAAAAAACATCCGCGCCTTGTAAGATGTGCGCGCCTGCTAAGACCTTGACAGAAACAATTTGGCCAATGTTAAGAAGTTCTCAGACCAAGACGTTCATGCATACACCTCTTCCCCGTTGCGGATACGCCCTGCTTGCATTTGAATGGGATTAGAAAAACCGCATCACCTCCCCGAAAAATCTTCAATGTGTGCTGAATCTTTCTTTTACGGGACTACATGCATTTCGCTGTACAAAAAGCGGACAGACGTCCAAGTCGACAGAGAATGTCTCACCTTGAGGGTTGCGGAGTTGCGGACAAGATGAGTCTGAAGGTCGATCTGCGTTAGAGAGAACATGGGGAAAGCAACGGAAGGTGAAGACGGGGACGAAAGAAAGAGAACACGTAAGAAGCGTGATAACGAACATTGAATCGTCATAAGAAGCATTTGCGCAAACAACTTGTGTCGCATGCTTGCTGGTAGACTATGGATCTAGCGATGTGGCCGTGACGGCCGTGGTGTTGAAATTATAACAATTTAGATCTAACGGTCAAAAATGAACCAGGATCTGACGTACAGCATCACACAGATCCAGATCCCGAAAACGATGTGACAATAGCAAAGAGACATAGCTGTGGTGACTCAAGCACGAATTCAACCGTAAGTCCACTATCCCGTAGATATGCGATCTGCCGTTCGCACCATACCATCTGCCGTTCGCACCTTACCATCTGCCGTTCGCACCTTACCATCTGCCGTTCGCACCTTACCATCTGCCGTTCGCACCTTACCATCTGCCGTTCGCACCTTACCATCTGCCGTTCGCACCTTACCATCTGCCGTTCGCACCTTACCATCTGCCGTTCGCACCTTGCCGTCTGCCGGTCGCACCTTACGATCTGCCCTGACACTAACCAAGGATTCATTTGCTACTAGCATGAAATTATTCGCTTTCTCGTCGACGAGCAATTCGCACATTACGATCTGCCCTGACAATATCCAGCGGTACATCGCTATTCTAAAATGAACCTCTTTTCGTCAATGAGCTATTCGCACTTGATATCTGCTCTGACAATGACCAAGGATTTGCTACGATTCTAAAAGATCCCAGTTTCCGTCAAGAAGCAGTTCGCACGTTACGATCTGCCCTGACAATGACCAGAGGTTCGCTACAAGTCCAAACAAATCCCCTTTTCGTCAATAAGCAGTTTGCACCTTACGATCCACCCTGACGATGATCAGGTCTTCGCTCGCTTGACCGATACACGCGAGCGACGCCAGAACCAGCGAGAAAACCACGACCCGCCGCGCGAATCGGAACCCGCATGCGCCTAGAGAAGCCATAGCTGCTGCTGCAGGAAGAACAGCGATCTCCTAAAAGTTGATCAGGCTGTCAGGAATCCCTAGGGAAGTAGAAATTCCGGAAGTGAGACAGATTCGACAGATTTGAAGGATGTGGTGATTTGGCTGACAGGCCGGATCGAAAATGGAGGTGGAGAGGAGGGGAGGAGGGCTGGGGTGAGTCCTAAGGTTTGCGGTACAGGGAGATTCGTGGACTCATATTGTGAAAAGGCATGATACTAATACGAAACCTTTTGTAATCGCTTTTAACCATGCGTTCAGAATACACTCACATAATCAAACACGGCACAGCCCAACCCTAACTACCCACAGGTGCAGATGACATATGCATTCTTCCCGTGCCTATAATAATTTTCTGAAATCACTTGCTAAACAAGCCTCACTGGTTGGCCCTCCAAATTGGGAACCCACTTTCCAGGCACCCATGCTCCATTTGCATCACGATAACCACCCTGATCCAAAATATGCAACCAATAAATACTAGGTGGCGCAATGCTGCTATTAGGTGGTGCTCTTATCGCAGCCGTAACAGTTTGATTATCGGGTGAAATCCAAACTGCGGATATATCGAGCAGCACGTTGCGCATACCCATGCGTTGGCTGTGTGTTGAAAACCCCGGATGAACAAGAACGGCTCGGAAGCGATTGATAAGGCGGGGTAGAGACGGGGGAGTGGCTACAGTTGTATTGAGGCGGACCGAGAAGAGAGTATTCAAGGTAATGGTTGCAGGTACCTGAAGGGTATAAGGTGAAGAAATAGAATGAACAAATCAACACGGTGGGGGCTACTTAGAAAGTTAGGGTGGATCAGAAAAGGCAGAGAAGCGACAAGACTGAAGGTCGGACTTGAATGCACTCCCCTCCCTTCTCCCCATTCACCACAACCCCCCTCTCACCTTCCAGAGCACGTTTCTCGGAACCCCCCACTGCAGATACGGTGGGGCAAACCGGTCAACGGCGAATTGAGTAGGGTAAGTTCCCCTGGTAGTGAGGCGATCATTGGGATTAGACCCAGAAATTAACACCGAACCGTCCCACAGCAGCAGAGCAGAGGAGTGGTACATGCGAGCGTAGCGACTCGACTCTGGGACTTGCCAGAAGCTGTGGAGAGAGAGGGAGGAGAAAAGGAGAATGGGGAGAGAGGTGAAAGGGAGGGGGGGAGAGAGTGGGGTTTGTATCACGTGTAGCAGAGCAGCAGGCCAGAGGAGCGGTGCATGCGGACATAGCGGATTGACTTTGGCCCCTGCCATAAGCTGCAGAAGAATCGGAGAGGGGGGTAAAAGAGGCTAAGGTTGTGCCACGTGTAGCAGAGCAGCAGAGCAGAGGAGAGGTACATGCAAGCGTAGTGGCTCGACTAAGGAACTTGCCAGAAGCTGTTTTGGTTTCTGGGGTGCAAGGGTATAGGGGGCGGGGAGAGAAAGAGGTTCGTGTTGGCTAAGTCCCAGAGCAGCAGAGTAACAGGGCAGAGGAGAGGTACGAGTTGGTTTTTGAGAATTCTCAAAAACGAAGTCCCAGAGCAGCAGAGTAACAGGGCAGAGGAGAGGTACATGCGAGCGTAACGGCAGCTGGAATCGGAGCAACCCACCGCTTGCCAGGTGGGCTGGTACGTGTGAAACGTGTAGATGACAGGGGTCCTCACGTCTCCTCCAGCGTATGTCTGCTTCAGCCCCTGGAATGCCCTACTATTCCCCTCCCTCACGCATATTGCACCCAAAGAGCAACTTACCGTTTGCCAGGTGGGCTGGTGGGGGTGTAGATGACAGGAGTCCTCATGTCTCCTCCAGCGTATGTCTGCTTCAGCCCCTGGAATGCCCTACTATTCCCCTCCCTCACGCATATTCCACTCAAAGAGCAACCCACCGTTTGCCAGGTGGGCTGGTAGGGGTGTAGATGACAGGAGTCCTCACGTCCCCTCCAGCATATGTCTGCTTCAGCCCCTGGAATGCCCTACTATTCCCCTCCCTCACGCATATTCCACTCAAAGAGCAACCCACCGTTTGCCAGGTGGGCTGGTAGGGGTGTAGATGACAGGAGTCCTCACGTCCCCTCCAGCGTATGTCTGCTTCAGCCCCTGGAATGCCCTACTATTCCCCTCCCTCACGCATATTCCACTCAAAGAGCAACCCACCGTTTGCCAGGTGGGCTGGTAGGGGTGTAGATGACAGGAGTCCTCACGTCCCCTCCAGCGTATGTCTGCTTCAGCCCCTGGAATCCCCTCCTGCCTCCGTTGCAGATCAGAACCGTGCCATCCAATAGGAGCACGGCATCTGGCATGACACTGCTCAGGGTCGTAACGAGAAGGGGCGGGGGAAGGGTGAGGAATGGAGAGGGGGAAGAGGGGACGATTTCACATGACCGTCTAGGGGCGCGATTCATACATGGGTTTATTCAGACTGCACGTGGCTGTGGCTGTGGCTGTGGCTGTGGCTGTGGGTGTGTGTACCATGCTCGTGGTTGTTGTTCAGGCATGATTCCTTAGCATGTAGGGGTGGGGTCCATGGGCGCAATGAGCCCACACGTGGCTGTGGCCGGGGCGACACACCCCCAAGGGAAGGCACGCTCACACACACACACACTTGCTTGTGACATGCAGCCAAGCAGCACTCACCGTGCAACGGGCATGATCTCGTAGGTCCACTTGGGGGTGGGGTCCATGGGCGCAATGAGCCCACACGTGGCTGTGGCAGGGGCAACACACCCAAGACAGGCCCCCGTGCGGTTGTCCCTGTTGGTGAGGTCTGCCTTGCTGCTGCTGCCCCCACAGATGAGGATCCTGGGTTTGTAGCCGTCAGCTGGGGAGGGGAAGATGGGGAAACAGAGGAATGAGGAGAAGAGAGGAGTGCAGGCACGCACCCAAGGCACGCCCCTGTGCAGTTATCCCTGTTTGTGAGGTCTGCACTGCTGCTGCTGCCCCCACAGATTAGGATCCTGGGCGCGTAGCCGTCAGCTGGGAATGGGAGGGGGCGATGGGGATGGGGAGATGGAGATGGGGATAGGAGTGAAGTAGTCAATTTTTGAGGAGCCTCAAAAATAGATGGAGGTTGGGATAGGAGTGAAGTATCACACGGAGACCCAGGGGCCGCACACCCAAGGCACTCCCCCGTGCTGTTGTCCCAGTTGGTGAGGTCTGCCTTGCTGCTGCTGCCCCCGCAGATTAGGATCCTGGGCACGTACCTGTCAGCTGGATGGGCGAGGGGGAGAGGAGAAGAGAGTTACGCATTGCACGGACCCAAGGGCCACATGAGGATCCCGAGGTCTGCGTTGCTGCTGCTGCCCCCGCAGTTTAGGATCCTGGGCGCGTCAGCTGGGAATGGGAGGGGGCGATGGGGATGGGGAGATGGAGATGGAGATAGGAGTGAAGTATCACACGGAGACCCAGGGGCCGCACACCCAAGGCACTCCCCCGTGCGGTTGTCCCGATTGGTGAGGTCTGCCTTGCTGCTGCTGCCCCCGCAGATTAGGATCCTGGGCGCGTACCTGTCAGCTGGATGAGTGAAGGGGAGATAGAGGAATGAGAAGAACAAATGAGTGTGGGCATCAGCAGGGGTTGCACACCCAAGGCACGCCCCTGTGCGGTTGTCCCGATTGGTCAGGTCTGCCGCTTCTGCTGCTGCTGCTGCTGCTGCAGATGATCATCCTGGGCGTGTAGCCGTCAGCTGGATGGGAGAGAGGGAGAGGGTTGGGGCGGAGTGAGGGTTGAGTTTGGGAGAACCGCACACAGCACCACATTCGTGACAAGATGCCTGACCTCCCTTTGCTGTCCTGATTCGTGAGGTTTGTGTTGCTGCTGCCGCTGCAGATGACGATCCTGGGCGTGTACTTATCAGCTGGATGGGCGCCAAGGGGGAAGAGGGAGGGTTGAGTTTGGGAGAACCGCACACAGCACCACATTCGTGACAAGATGCCTGACCTCCCTTTGCTGTCCTGATTCGTGAGGTTTGTGTTGCTGCTGCCGCTGCAGATGACGATCCTGGGCGTGTACTTATCAGCTGGATGGGCGCGAAGGGGGAAGAGGGAGGGTTGAGTTTGGGAGAACCGCACACAGCACCACATTCGTGACAAGATGCCTGACCTCCCTTTGCTGTCCTGATTCGTGAGGTTTGTGTTGCTGCTGCCGCTGCAGATGACGATCCTGGGCGTGTACTTATCAGCTGGATGGGCGCGAAGGGGGAAGAGGGAGGGTTGAGTTTGGGAGAACCGCACACAGCACCACATTCGTGACAAGATGCCTGACCTCCCTTTGCTGTCCTGATTCGTGAGGTTTGTGTTGCTGCTGCCGCTGCAGATGACGATCCTGGGCGTGTACTTATCAGCTGGATGGGCGCCAAGGGGGAAGAGGGAGGGTTGAGTTTGGGAGAACCGCACACAGCACCACATTCGTGACAAGATGCCTGACCTCCCTTTGCTGTCCTGATTCGTGAGGTTTGTGTTGCTGCTGCCGCTGCAGATGACGATCCTGGGCGTGTACTTATCAGCTGGATGGGCGCCAAGGGGGAAGAGGGAGGGTTGAGTTTGGGAGAACCGCACACAGCACCACATTCGTGACAAGATGCCTCTCCTCCCCCAATTCTGCCTCTCTCTCCTGTTTCTTGAGGTCTGCACTGCTTCTGCTTCCGCCGCAGACGAGAATCCTGGGCGTGTACCCGTCAGATGGATGGGCGAGGCAGGTGGGAAGGGGAAGGGGGAGAAACGGGGATGGGAGTGAAGTGTGGCAGGGACCCACGGAGTGAAGTGTGGCAGGGACCCACGGAGTGAAGTGTGGCAGGGACCCACGGAGTGAAGTGTGGCAGGGACCTAGTGAAGTGCGGCACAACACGACTGCTGTAGCACAACACAACCACTGTAGCAAAACACAACCGCTGTAGCACAAAATACTGTAACACAGCAGGGGGTGGGCCTACCTGAGGAGAGCTGAAGCATGGCAGAGGAGCCAGTGACAGGGTAGGAACGGTTGAGGCTTGTGGTGCCTCGATACATACAAGAGAAGCACTGAAGCACAAGAGGAGACAGGCCTACCTGAGGAGAGCTGAAGCATGGCAGAGGAGCCAGTGACAGGGTAGGAACGGTTGAGGCTTGTGGTGCCTCGATACATACAAGAGAAGCACTGAAGCACAAGAGGAGACAGGCCTACCTGAGGAGAGCTGAAGCATGGCAGAGGAGCCAGTGACAGGGTAGGAACGGTTGAGGCTTGTGGTGCCTCGATACATACAAGAGAAGCACTGAAGCACAAGAGGAGACAGGCCTACCTGAGGAGAGCTGAAGCATGGCAGAGGAGCCAGTGACAGGGTAGGAGCGGTTGAGGCTTGTGGTGCCTCGATACATACAAGAGAAGCACTGAAGCACAAGAGGAGACAGGCCTACCTGAGGAGAGCTGAAGCATGGCAGAGGAGCCAGTGACAGGGTAGGAGCGGTTGAGGCTTGTGGTGCCTCGATACATACAAGAGAAGCACTGAAGCACAAGAGGAGACAGGCCTACCTGAGGAGAGCTGAAGCATGGCAGAGGAGCCAGTGACAGGGTAGGAGCGGTTGAGGCTTGTGGTGCCTCGATACATACAAGAGAAGCACTGAAGCACAAGAGGAGACAGGCCTACCTGAGGAGAGCTGAAGCATGGCAGAGGAGCCAGTGACAGGGTAGGAGCGGTTGAGGCTTGTGGTGCCTCGATACATACAAGAGAAGCACTGAAGCACAAGAGGAGACAGGCCTACCTGAGGAGAGCTGAAGCATGGCAGAGGAGCCAGTGACAGGGTAGGAGCGGTTGAGGCTTGTGGTGCCTCGATAAATACAAGAGAAGCACTGAAGCACAAGAGGAGACAGGCCTACCTGAGGAGAGCTGAAGCATGGCAGAGGAGCCAGTGACAGGGTAGGAGCGGTTGAGGCTTGTGGTGCCTCGATACATACAAGAGAAGCACTGAAGCACAAGAGGAGACAGGCCTACCTGAGGAGAGCTGAAGCATGGCAGAGGAGCCAGTGACAGGGTAGGAGCGGTTGAGGCTTGTGGTGCCTCGATACATACAAGAGAAGCACTGAAGCACAAGAGGAGACAGGCCTACCTGAGGAGAGCTGAAGCATGGCAGAGGAGCCAGTGACAGGGTAGGAGCGGAATATGTTGGTGTTGGCCTGGCCGAACCGGGATACGTCCAGGGGAGGAAGGGTGCGGTAAACCTGAGAGAGATGGGTGGGAGGGAGAGGGAGAGGGAGGAGCGGAGCGGAGATATGAAAAGAAGAGGGCGGAGGTGAAGGGCAGAGGCAAGGAGCCGGTGACAGGGTCTGCTTTTTTAGAATTCTCAAAAATCAGTTTAGGGTAGGAGCGGAAGATGTTGGTGTTGGGAGGAGCAAGGGTGCGCTACACCTGAGGGAGATGTGGGGGTGGACGAGGGAGGTGCAGAGCGGTGCAGACAGGTGGCGTCACTGATAAATTAGGAGTGAGGGAGGGAGGGGAAGAGAGGTGCAATTCATTGTGGTTTAGTGTGGTTGGGCACGTACCGTGTTGGTGGTGTAGTTGAGGAGGATAGCCCGTTGACCCGCGAATATGAACAGATGCCTCGAAGGCAGCAGGTGCACGAACGGGTGCACGGCAACACATCACTCACCGTGCAGAGCTCCAGTGAGATTCAGAGTGGTTCAGTGCGGTTCAGTTCGGTTCAGCATACCGTATTGGTGGTGTAGTTGAGCAGAATTGCTCGTTGCCCCGCGAATATGAACAGATGCCCCGAAGGCAGCAGGTGCACGAACGGGTAGAGGTTGTAGGGAAGAGTTTCCTCCAGAAAGCGAAGCTTGTAGTTGCCTGGGGTGAGGAACAGGATCGGGAACAGGGTTGGAAACAGGCGGGAACAGGTTTGGAAACAGGTTTGGAAACAGGGTTGGGAACAGGTTTGGAAACAGGGTTGGGAACAGGGTCAGGAACAGGTTTGGAAACAGGGTCGGGAACAGGGTTGGAAACAGGGTTGGGAACAGGGTCGGGAACAGGGTTGGAAACAGGGTTGGAAACAGATTTGCAAACAGGGTTTAAAACAGGGTTGGTTTGGGAACAGGGTTGGGAACAGGTTCGGAAACAGATTTGTAGTTGCCTGGAGGGTGGATCGAGGTGCATGGGAATGGGAGAAATAGAAGAGGAAGAGGTTAGAGAAGAGAAAGCAAGAACACGAAGAGGTAGCGGTTGTAGGGCAGAGATTCCTTTCAATAAGCAACTGTGTAGTTGCCTCTCTCTCTCCCTACAACCCCCATCCCACTCTTGCCGTGCCACCATCCTCCGAACTGAGCAGAACAGCACCAAACCATGGAAACACACAGCAGGGAAACAATCCTCGCACCCCCACCTCATCTTCGCCCTCTTTCCTGGGCCATAACTCGAAGCTGGGGTTATTGTTTTGAACCGAGATGGCCACGTTGCCAAACACATTTGCCCCCCCAACTATGAAGATTTGCCTGTCGGGTAAGAGCAGGGCTGTGCGGTACCAACGCGTGGCTAGAAGTCCACTCCTCTTGTCCCAATTGCACAAATCCGCGTTCAACCGTCCAACGCACAGCAAGAGACCACCTCTCCCATTCACCTTCTCTCAGCCCCCTCACCTTCGCCCTCTTTCCTGGGCCAGAAATCGAAGGTGGGGTTGTTGCCTTGAACCGAGTTGATGGCCAAGTTGCCAAACACATTGGCACCCCGAACCCAACCGCACACAACCACACCCAGCCGTTCACACACAAAGCAAGGAAACGCCTCCCTACACCTCTCACCTTCTCCTTCCTTTCTAGGCCAGAACTCAAAGGTGGGGTTGTTGTTTTGAACTGAATTGATCGCCACATTCCCAAACACATTAGCGCCACCAATGATGAAGATGCGCCCATCTGCTAAGAGCTGAGCCGTGGGGTACCACCGCTTGGAGGTCATCTCTCAACTTCTCCGTCCTTCCTGGCCCAGAACTCGAAGGTGGGGTTGTTGTTTTGAACAGAATTGATTGCCACGTTCCCAAACACATTAGCGCCACCAATGATGAAGATGCGCCCATCTGGTAAGAGCTGGGCTGTGGGGTACCACCGCTTGGAGGTCATCTCTCTCCCCACCCCCTTAAGCCGCACACAGCCCTTTCAAACCTACACAACCGCACTAAACCGTAGAAGAATACTGCATCCGCCTCACCTTCTCCGACTTTTCTTGGCCAGAACTCGAAGGTGGGGTTGTTGTTTTGAACCGAATTGATGGCCACGTTGCCCAACACATTAGCGCCACCAATAATGAAGATGCGCCCATCGGGTAAGAGCTGGGCTGTGGGGTACCACCGCTTGGAAGTCATCTGCCCCACCAGGGAGAAATCACAACCCCCGCTGCTGCTGCTACTGCTGGTGTTGCCGCCGTTGCTACTGCTGGTGTTGCCGTTGCTGCTATTGCCGCTGCTGCCGCTGCGGCCCCCGCTGCTGCTGCTGCTATTGGCAGAAGTGGCAGCAGCAGGCGGGGCAGCAGCAGGGGGGCAAGGCGAGAAGGAGCGGATGGAGGCAGCTCCATCGAGGAGAGGGTCGGCCAGATTGGTGGCATTGGCGTCTGATGTGCCTCCGATGCTGATTAGGCGACCGTATGGGTCTATAGCGCCTGGTGGGAAGAAAGCAGGAAGGGGGTTTGTGGGGCGAGAAGGAGAACACAACACAGCAGAGGTGGCCAGGTTGGTGGCATTGGCGTCTCATGTGCCTCCGATGCTGATTAGGCGACCGTATGGGTCTATAGCGCCTGGTGGGAAGAAAGCAGGAAGGGGGTTTGTGGGGCGAGAAGGAGAACACAACACAGCAGAGGTGGCCAGGTTGGTGGCATTGGCGTCTGATGTGCCTCCGATGCTGATTAGGCGACCGTATGGGTCTATAGCGCCTGGTGGGAAGAAAGCAGGAAGGGGGTTTGTGGGGCGAGAAGGAGAACACAACACAGCAGAGGTGGCCAGGTTGGTGGCATTGGCGTCTCATGTGCCTCCGATGCTGATTAGGCGACCGTATGGGTCTATAGCTCCTGGTGGGCAGCAGGGAGGGGGGTTGAGAGGGGTGAGAATGAGATCAGCAGAGGTGGCCAGGTTGGTGGCAATGGCGTCTGATGTGCCGCCGATGCTGATAAGGCGACCGTATGAGTCTATGGCACCTGGAGGGATGAAAGGCAGAGGCAGGAAAGAACACAGGCTTGAGCGGTAACAGCGGTGGCAGCAGCAGCAGAGGCAGCAGCAGCAGTGAAGGCGGCAGCAGGAGGGGAGGAAAGGGAGAAGGAGCGGATGGAGGCAGCTCCATCGAGGAGAGGGTCTGCCAGGTTGGTGGCATTGGCGTCTGATGTGCCTCCGATGCTGATTAGGCGACCGTATGGGTCTATAGCGCCTGGTGGGAAGAAAGCAGGAAGGGGGTTTGTGGGGCGAGAAGGAGAACACAACACAGCAGAGGTGGCCAGGTTGGTGGCATTGGCGTCTCATGTGCCTCCGATGCTGATTAGGCGACCGTATGGGTCTATAGCGCCTGGTGGGAAGAAAGCAGGAAGGGGGTTTGTGGGGCGAGAAGGAGAACACAACACAGCAGAGGTGGCCAGGTTGGTGGCATTGGCGTCTCATGTGCCTCCGATGCTGATTAGGCGACCGTATGGGTCTATAGCGCCTGGTGGGAAGAAAGCAGGAAGGGGGTTTGTGGGGCGAGAAGGAGAACACAACACAGCAGAGGTGGCCAGGTTGGTGGCATTGGCGTCTGATGTGCCTCCGATGCTGATTAGGCGACCGTATGGGTCTATAGCTCCTGGTGGGAAGAAAGCAGGAAGGGGGTTTGTGGGGCGAGAAGGAGAACACAACACAGCAGAGGTGGCCAGGTTGGTGGCATTGGCGTCTCATGTGCCTCCGATGCTGATTAGGCGACCGTATGGGTCTATAGCGCCTGGTGGGAAGAAAGCAGGAAGGGGGTTTGTGGGGCGAGAAGGAGAACACAACACAGCAGAGGTGGCCAGGTTGGTGGCATTGGCGTCTCATGTGCCTCCGATGCTGATTAGGCGACCGTATGGGTCTATAGCGCCTGGTGGGAAGAAAGCAGGAAGGGGGTTTGTGGGGCGAGAAGGAGAACACAACACAGCAGAGGTGGCCAGGTTGGTGGCATTGGCGTCTCATGTGCCTCCGATGCTGATTAGGCGACCGTATGGGTCTATAGCGCCTGGTGGGAAGAAAGCAGGAAGGGGGTTTGTGGGGCGAGAAGGAGAACACAACACAGCAGAGGTGGCCAGGTTGGTGGCATTGGCGTCTCATGTGCCTCCGATGCTGATTAGGCGACCGTATGGGTCTATAGCGCCTGGTGGGCAGCAGGGAGGGGGGTTGAGAGGGGTGAGAATGAGATCAGCAGAGGTGGCCAGGTTGGTGGCAATGGCGTCTGATGTGCCGCCGATGCTGATTAGGCGACCGTATGAGTCTATGGCACCTGGAGGGATGAAAGGCAGAGGCAGGAAAGAACACAGGCTTGAGCGGTAACAGCGGTGGCAGCAGCAGCAGAGGCAGCAGCAGCAGTGAAGGCGGCAGCAGGAGGGGAGGAAAGGGAGAAGGAGCGGATGGAGGCAGCTCCATCGAGGAGAGGGTCTGCCAGGTTGGTGGCATTGGCGTCTGATGTGCCTCCGATGCTGATTAGGCGACCGTATGGGTCTATAGCGCCTGGTGGGAAGAAAGCAGGAAGGGGGTTTGTGGGGCGAGAAGGAGAACACAACACAGCAGAGGTGGCCAGGTTGGTGGCATTGGCGTCTCATGTGCCTCCGATGCTGATTAGGCGACCGTATGGGTCTATAGCGCCTGGTGGGAAGAAAGCAGGAAGGGGGTTTGTGGGGCGAGAAGGAGAACACAACACAGCAGAGGTGGCCAGGTTGGTGGCATTGGCGTCTCATGTGCCTCCGATGCTGATTAGGCGACCGTATGGGTCTATAGCGCCTGGTGGGAAGAAAGCAGGAAGGGGGTTTGTGGGGCGAGAAGGAGAACACAACACAGCAGAGGTGGCCAGGTTGGTGGCATTGGCGTCTGATGTGCCTCCGATGCTGATTAGGCGACCGTATGGGTCTATAGCGCCTGGTGGGAAGAAAGCAGGAAGGGGGTTTGTGGGGCGAGAAGGAGAACACAACACAGCAGAGGTGGCCAGGTTGGTGGCATTGGCGTCTCATGTGCCTCCGATGCTGATTAGGCGACCGTATGGGTCTATAGCGCCTGGTGGGAAGAAAGCAGGAAGGGGGTTTGTGGGGCGAGAAGGAGAACACAACACAGCAGAGGTGGCCAGGTTGGTGGCATTGGCGTCTCATGTGCCTCCGATGCTGATTAGGCGACCGTATGGGTCTATAGCGCCTGGTGGGAAGAAAGCAGGAAGGGGGTTTGTGGGGCGAGAAGGATAACACAACACAGCAGAGGTGGCCAGGTTGGTGGCATTGGCGTCTCATGTGCCTCCGATGCTGATTAGGCGACCGTATGGGTCTATAGCGCCTGGTGGGAAGAAAGCAGGAAGGGGGTTTGTGGGGCGAGAAGGAGAACACAACACAGCAGAGGTGGCCAGGTTGGTGGCATTGGCGTCTCATGTGCCTCCGATGCTGATTAGGCGACCGTATGGGTCTATAGCGCCTGGTGGGCAGCAGGGAGGGGGGTTGAGAGGGGTGAGAATGAGATCAGCAGAGGTGGCCAGGTTGGTGGCAATGGCGTCTGATGTGCCGCCGATGCTGATTAGGCGACCGTATGAGTCTGTGGCACCTGGAGGGAGGGAAGCAGGGAGGGAGGGAACACCAGGAGATCAGTGTCGACCAGCGTTGACCAGCAAATACCAGTGCTCACCAACCCTGACCGGATTTCACCAGCGTTGACCTGCATTGACCAGCGTTGACCTGCATTGACCAACTTTCATTGGCACGTACCTGCAGAGCAGAAGACATTGGACTTGACGTTCAAAGCCCTGAGCGACCCCGTTTCAAAGCTGTACTCCTCTGCATACGCCGTCTGAATGGAGGGAGGTGGGTGAGGGGTTGGATTGAGCAGCGGGGACAGCAAGGGATTGGTGGAAGTGTTAGTAATGGGTGGAAGTGAGGGGGGGAGGTGATGGGGGGAGGTGATGGGGGGAGGTGATGGGGGGAGGTGATGGGGGGGGAGCAGAAGACATAAGACTTGACGTGCAGAGCCCTGAGCGACCCCGTTTCAAAGCTGCACTCCTCTGCATATGCCGTCTGAATTAGGGAAGGGGTGGGGAGGGGTGGGGAGGGGTGGGTGATCAGCGGGGAGTGCAAAGGCCAATGAGGAAGTTAGATAGAGATGGGGGAATAAAAGAAGAGATAAGGGCCAATGGGCCTCACGTTCAGAGATCCGAGCGACCTTGTGTCGTGAGTTTTGAGGGGTCTGACTGATGTGATCTGAGTCCTTTGACAGTCTAAGGCACTGAGTGAAGCTAGTTAGTTCTGCCGAACTAAGCTGGTACGAGAGGCACAAAAGACAACTCAAAAGGAAAAACTGGTACGACCAGGGCAGGGCACTTACCCGTCCGTTTGGGAGCTTGGCATACGTGTTGCTGACGTCCGTGCGGTCGATATAAAGGATCGTCTTATAATGAGTCACGGCAGTATGGATGCCTGACACCTGGGGGCGTGATGGGGGAGTGGGGGAGGGGGGGGGGGGAGAGATGGTGTGATGGCAGCAGGGTCAAGAGCGCAAAGTAAGGAGTCCAGCAGCACTTAGAGACTCCTAACTGCTGCTGCTGGTGTGATGGCGCCATTCACCTGGACCCCCATGCCCTCAATCACGCCAAATTTGCCCTTCTCGATGAAGTACTTGGGCTTAGAGGGCTGGCTGGGTTGGAAGGCTTGAAACAGCAGTGCCAGGCATTCCCTACATGATCCCCATTTCCCCCACTCACCCAGACCCCCATCCTGCCCACTCACTCGGACCCCCATGCCCTCAATCACACCGATCTTGCCCATCTCAGTGAAGTACTTGGGTTTGGGCTGCTTGGGAGCAGCTGGGGGCGCAGAGGGCAGCACCAGAAATTGCCCTACCTTATCCCCATTCCCCCCACCCCCATGCCCCCACTCACCCGGATCTTGCCCATCTCAATGAAGTACTTGGGTTTGGGCTGCTGGGAAGCAGCTGGGGGCGCAGCGGAGCAGAGCAGCAGCAGCAGCAGCAGCAGCAGCAGCAGCAGCAGCAGCAGCAGCAGCAGCAGCAGCAGCAGCAGCAGCAGCAGCAGCAGCAGCAGCAACAGCAGATTTTGTCCTACCTGATTCCTCCCCCTCCCTCTCCCCCCCTCCTTTACTCACGCGGATCTTGCCCATCTCAATGAAGTACTTGGGTTTGGGAGGCTGGGGAGCGGCTGGGGGTGCAGCAGGCGACGTTGCTGCTGCTGCTGTGGTGGTGTGGAAACCAGCAGCACCGACAGAATCACCACCACTGCCTGCTGCTACAGCCGGTGTCGGTGCTACAGCTGGAAATGGCGCTACAGCCGTGGCCTTGTCTGCCTGCTGACTCGCGGGCGTAGTGCTGCTGCTTGTTGCTGCCTGCTGCGGTGGATCTTGATTTGACTGCATGCTGACGTGGCGGTCAGGTGATCCTCCAGGTTTACTTGAAGCAGGTGGTTTCTGGCCAGGTGAGATTGAAGCAGGTGGTTTCTGGCCAGGCGTGATTGGAGCAGGTGGTTTCTGGCCAGGTGTGATTGGAGCAGGTGGTTTCTGGCCAGGCGTGATTGAAGCAGGTGGCTTCATTCCAGGTAATGCTGGTGCCGTTTTTGCTGATGACTTGTGTCCGCTTCCCACCCTCCTGTCTCTCTTCCTTGCACCCCTGCTTCTCTTGCCCTTGCCCCTCCCCCTCCGTTCCTTGCCACACTTCCCCTTGCCTCTCCGTATTATCTGCACTCGCAGCAGCGGCAACAGTGGTTCTGACGATGACGTGGTGCGTGCACAGTGGCTGGATCCACGTGGCCGCTTCTTGATGCCTGGCCGTCCCCGTCGGAGCTTTCTCAGCCGTTGATTCAAATTTCCTGCACCAGTGTGAATTGCCTTGGTGTGATTGTGATGAATTGCTTTCGCGTGACGAACCCTTCTGGTAGGATGAACCTTCCTGCCGTCTTCTTTAATGTCACGAATCCCCTTATCATCGTGACGAGCCCTGTTCGTTTCACGAGTCCCATCAGCAAAAGCCGGGATGTTGGGTGCGTAGTCCAATATTGCGATGTCAAACGAATCAAGTGATGAACTCTTGAAAACGGCGGCTGCAGCTGCGCGAATAACAGGTTCCTGGAGAGGCAAACTTGATTCCTTGATTCCTAAACTGGAGATAGCAGTGGCTCCTGCTGTTGCTGCACCTGCTGCCGCTGCTCCTGCTGCCGCTCCTGCTCGTGCTGCCTCTGCCTCCGCTGCTGATGCCACTGCAGTAGGCCGTGCAACAACCAGAAGCATGAGGACGAGGAGGTCCAAAGCGCGTTGACGGCCATTGCCCTGGCCTCCCATCCTGCAATGACGTTGTTGCGCGATCTGCTGCACTTGCTGCTTCATGATTGTAATATGTTCGACCGTGTCTCAATAACTGTGAGTCTGTGCAATATGTTGAGTGCATACAAGTCACATTCACCAAGCCTCTCTGCACAGAGGCGATGCTGGGGGTAAGGCTGTCAGGCTGTCGGGCTGACGGTCAGGCTGTCATCTTCTAGGAGAATCTTCAGGCGGTTGGCAGGAGAACAAGGCCGCTGAGGAGTAGCCTGATGCACAAGGCTCCCGACTAACGTGGTTCTAGGTCGATCAGTCTCTAACGTGGTTGCTAGTCCTTCCCAGTAATCTCTATCCCGTTAGAAAGGAACTATTGCAACGAGGCTCGTACAATTAGGAGCCTTTATGCAACAAGCGAGCTGCTGTATTTCTTAAGCACAGCCTCTTCCGTGTCTTTATTCCATGCGCACCAACGGCGTGAATCCACCGACAAGCGAATCGCACGGGCCGTGACAGTACCGGCAGTGACAGTAAGGAACGACTACCTCGCACACTCAGTGTGATATTGTGTAGCGCCAGACATTTCACGTGAGGAGCCATGCCAGGCGAGGCGACGGCGAAACCGGCGAAACGAAGGCGAAACTGGCTAACCGAAGACGACGCCGGCGATGCGACGGCAAAGCCAGCAAGGCACGGGAAAAGGATCCGAACGAGCGAACAATCGGGCAAACAGGGCGACAGCAAGGAAGGGAATTTGAAACGGGCCGTCGGCGAGAACGGAAACGGGCGAAGCTACAGAGATTGTCACTAGGGGAAGGTAGAGCCGCTAATAGCCTTCAACCCCCAGAAGCTGGGAAACTCGAGAATTTGTCAGGCAGCTTCGGCAGAATTCAGGAGGATAAGACGAACTCGACATTGACATGGCCGCACAATTGAAGAACACCCCTGGAAACATGGATGAACTATCTGAAGTCTATCTGAAGTTTCATAATGACGGAAAAAGCTCAGATAAATTATATGAAGAGAAAAAGGGAAATAATAAATTATACGGAAAGTGTGGTTTTTAGACCATCATATTTCTTTTCTTTTTTAGGTGTGGTGCCTTTTACTGCTTACCAAACAGAGTCTTTCAACGGAGTGACAAGGCCGAAATTCGGCCACACCCAGAAAGAAAACCAACCAATAGAGGCTTCCGCCTGATCACGGGCTCGCCAGCACAGCGGCGTGACGTGGCGGCCACAATGGGGTGTGAGGGGAGTTGTTGGTTGGGATTGTGTGCGGCTGACTGCTCATCACGGTGATAACCCAACGGACGATCAGGTTTGACCATGACCAGTTCGAGGTGTGAAAGAGGTTGCGGGCTGAAGGTGGTGGGGTGAAGGTGATTCTTGCAGATCACTTTTGAAATGTGCCATGTTGACTGTTCTTGTAGCAGCCAGTCTCGCTACAGTCACACCATCCGAGATTCCCTGGGAACTTCAAAACTTTACTTCCATTTTCGTAGTATTTCCTTTCGCCCTGCTTGCTGGTCCTGCTACGGCGTCCTTATCCTATTCCTGACAGCGTTCTCGATACCTCGTCGAGCGTGCATGCGATGTCGTTTAGAGGGAAGGGACGTGTGGCTTGAGGTGTTAGTCTGATTCTTGTCAGCAGAGGGAGCTCAGACTGTTGTGTGCGTGCACCCATTATCCATTGACCTGATCAGATGCAGGTTTCCAGAATCTCGCATCACGCTCATTTGTAGTTTCCGTCGAAAACTCGCGTGGCCGAGCTGCTTCGCACAGTATCCACGGTCGCGAACGTAGGTCTATTCTAGACCGTCGGACGCACCAGCTGATTCACCAATTCGTCGATGCTACTCCTCCCTCATTCCAACTCGCTTGGCCGATCCTTTTAGTCGCCAGCGATAATAGTTTCCGTTCGCCGTTCGCCGCGACTACGCAGCCACCTTGCTAAGATTCTTACACAAAAGTCGATCTCGCGAAGCTCGTTTCGGAATCAATCTTCATAGTTGAATTTGTGCTGAATGACCAGATAGGGTTTTCTGCGCTGGTGTTTCGAACCCGTGTTGCAGAAATCTCGCTTTACTTGATACGCAGAAGTCACCATGCAGGGTTCGCTATCATCCCTGTCCCGGCCTCCATGCGGTATGCTCACTCTTGACCAATCACCCCAACCAGTTTATTACGTCATTGTACGATCGAATTTCTTGAAGTTTTTATTTTAATGTCACATGGAATTTATGGCTTCGACTTTCATATTATCAAGCACAATCAGGCCGTTTATGATTTACCGTTTATCAGGACCGTCAGGGACTTGTTATGACAGTCTGGCATGGATTTGTGCTTTAGTGCGAGTGCGCCAGGTTGCGATCTTGTGTGCACTATGCAGTACTGCCCGTCACCAGTTGCTTGGCTGTAATCTCCTTTATTTGTTTCTCGCTGTTCTTTTCTCCCCTGTACGCGTTACAGGATGCGTCGTCCCTGGACGCGTCCCCTGTGCTCGTGTGCACGTAGCGCAGCAGTCTGCAAGCCGGCAGCCACTGGCCATGCACCAGGTGCGCTTTGGCCTCATAATAGAGTCAAATCGGTGAATCCTGATAGACTGTTCAAGAGAGGCACTTTGAACATTTTTCCGCTCATTTCCCTTACATGTTGACTGCTTTCCACTTTTTTCCTTAATCACTATGTTTCGTGTCAATGATAGAGAGGAATGAGGATGGGCAAGTCATTATGTTTGTATGTTCATGTCACTGCACTCCCGTCGAATGATTCCCACCTACCCGACTTTTGCCCTTTTCCAGACTATCGGTCGCGGGGGGGCGTCCTTTCCTTCACTCTCCTCCCGCTCCGCAGCCGCGTCTCCCACTGCTGCGTCTGCCAGCGTCCTTCGCTCCTCCTCCCTCCACCCGTGGGGATGGCAGGGTCTAAGGGTCCCAGGAAGGATAGAGCTAGGGAGAGGGATGGGGTTACATCCAGGCACAGGATTGGCAGGAGGATTTCAGGGCACAGGTGCAGCAGGAGCAGGAAGTAGCTTTGGAAGAGGTAGAGGGCTTAGACGAGCTGGTTCGTTGGGTGTAGTTGCGGCGGTTTCTGGTGCAGATGCGTCTGGGGGAAGGGGAGACTCGTCTGGGTCCACGTCGCAGTGGAAGGCGGGCGAGGCGGCTGGCAGCAGCAAATCGAAAGCTGCCAGCTCAGCATCAGGCTCTGCAGGGAAAGCAGCTGGGGGGGCGAAAAAGGCGAAAGCGGGGAAGAAACGGTCGCAGGGCACGTCAGCAGTAGCAGCTGCTGACGTGGATAAGGACTGGGATCCGATCACCGAGTTACTAGAGCGGGTGCCGAACCGGGTGGAGCCGCAGGTTCGGGTGAACGGGCAGCTGATGTCTCTCAAGGAGGCAGAGGCTCGGGCCGTACCTGCGCCGATCCGAGCCTTAAATGCTCTAGAGCAAGGAGTTGAAAGCGCTCGTGAGGCGGCCTTGGGAAAGCTGACGGCGGTTCTAGGAGGGGTGGATAAGGAGGTGATTATAGAGGAAGGGATTGAAGAAGAGGGGTTGGCAGCAGAGGGAAGGGAAGGAAAGGAAGGGAAACAATCTCAACAGGGAATTTCCTTAGGCGCTGATGCTACTCAGCAGGCTAATCCCGTGTACCTGAAAGATCTCCTGCGCGAGTTTAAGGGGGAGCTGGTGGTTCCAGAGGAGGCGTTCGCCCCGCGCGTGGTGGAAACCACTGCGTTTGAGCGCGCGCTGGCGGACGCTCCGCCCATGAGCGCGGCGGAGTTTCTGGGTTTTGCGGAGAAGAAGCAGGTGGCGCTGGTAACGTCGCGCGGGTTGAAGCGGCGCGATGGGAGGTTCGAGTACTGGGATGTGCTGGTGCAGCTGAAGGAGGTCCCGGGGGAGCCTGCCCTCCAAACTAACTCCTGGTGAGTGCGGGTGGGTTTGGTAGTGTGCAGTTGCATCGGGAGGATATGCACTGCACTCAAGCGAGTAGTGAAGAGGTTCGAGTACTGGCACGTGTTGGTGCAGCTGAACGAGGTCCCGGGGGAGCCGGCCTTACAGACCAACACCTGGTGATTGAGTGGGTGGGCTGAGCGTGCAGTACAGTTGACTGGAAGGAAGTGCACTTTAGCGAGTAGTTGAGTACTGCGACGTGCTGGTGATGGAGGTCCAAGGGGAGCCACTTCACCAGTGTTCACCAGGTGTTTCCCTTCCCCACCACCTGACCCCACTGCTCCCCACCATTCTTCCTTGCCGATAATAGGAAGCTCGGCACGGGCTCACTGTGCCCCCAGTGCTGGCAGCTTCCTTTTGTTGTCAGTTGCGTCCTCTCTTCTCCTCTTCCCTCTCCCCATCCCCCCCCCTTCCCCCCCAATCCAAACCCCCTCCCGCCCTTGGATCCCTACTCCCCTCCTTGTCCCCTTGCAGGAGGCTCAAAGTGGACTCTCAGTCCGTGCCAGCAGTGCTGGCGGCCTATAAGGGACCACAGAAGGAGGTTGAGACCGTGTACTCGGTAAGAACTGTCGCAAGTGCTCGTTATAGTGAATGCAGTACATGGTAACTGCGTGAACAGTTATTTCACTTAGTGCCGGCGGTGCTGGTGGCTTTTAAGGGTCCACAGAATTGATACAGTGCACGCGCCAAGATCTCTCAATGTGTACCCTGTTAAGTCATACCTTGAAACGAATCTTATGCAGATTGGCTGTGTGGGCGCTCGTGATGTGTCAATTGTTTACAAGGTACAGCAGCTGCAGCAGCATGCTAGCTAGGCATCTCCCCCATCCCCCTCTTTCTTCTTTACCCTCCTCCCTTTCTCCTCCAATTTTCCCCTCTTCTCCCCCATCAGACGTTTGTCGAGGTGCCATCAGCCAAGCCCCTCCCAGCAGCCTCCACCATCTCCGGACGAATCTTCCTGGAATGTTCCATCTTAGCAGCCATCATCCAATCCTTCCTCTCCGCCCTCATCGCCTCTTCCACCGCCGCCCTTCTCCTGGCCTCCTCCGCCGTGCTCTTTATAGCCCGATCCGTTTTATGGCCCCTGGCGAAACCCCTGCTGACGCCTGTAGTCTGGGTTGTAGCGGCTGTAGCGAAGCAGATAGCAGCTGTGCTCACTGCCACGTGGGCTAGTCTGTTTGCTCCGGGCGGCGCCAGTTTGTTTGGATTCATACAGCTACAGCTGGCAGCGATGTTCGGGAGCGGAGGGATAGCAGCGGGGGTGACTGGCGCTGCTGCCAACGCGTCAGGAGATGCTATTACTGACGTGGCAGCTGACCTGGCGCGGGAGATTTTTATCGGGAAGCTGAAGAGCTCGGCGAAAGCGGTGGGGATGATGGTGTTTGTGGTGCTGTTCATGGCAGCTGGGGCGAAGTTTACACTGAACCGGCGTACTAGGGACTACACCAAGTGGGTAAGTGATGAAAGAGAGGGGAAGGGAAGGGATTGTCGGAATGCTGTGATAGCAGGGAGATGAATGGGGAGAGAGCGGTGGGGATGATGGTGTTTGTGGTGCTGTTCATGGCAGCTGGGGCGAAGTTTACACTGAACCGTCGTACTAGGGACTACACCAAGTGGGTAAGTGATGAAAGAGAGGGGAAGGGAAGGGATTGGCGGAATGCTGTGGTAGCAGGGAGATGAATGGGGAGAGAGCGGTGGGGATGATGGTGTTTGTGGTGCTGTTCATGGCAGCTGGGGCGAAGTTTACGCTGAACCGGCGTACTAGGGACTACACCAAGTGGGTAAGTGATGAAAGAGAGGGGAAGGGAAGGGGTTGGCGGAATGCTGTGACAGCAGGGAGATGAATGGGGAGAGAGCGGTGGGGATGATAGTGTTTGTGGTGCTGTTCATGGCAGCTGGGGCGAAGTTCACTCTCAACAGACGCACAAGGGACTACACCAAGTGGGTAAGTGACTGGGGGGCTTTGTGGAGTTGCAGGGAGATGTGTTTAGGGCAATGGTGGGGATGATGGTGTTTGTGGTGCTGTTCATGGCAGCTGGGGCGAAGTTCACTCTCAACAGATGCACGAGGGACTACACCAAGTGGGTAAGTGATGATAGGCGGAAGGAGAGGGAAGGGAGGCAAAGCTGGGATAGCTGGGAGATGATGGGGGAAGAGAGTGGTTGGGTGATGGTTGGGGGAGTGAAACAATGGATAGAGCATATGGGATGATGGTGCTGTGAGAGGCTGGTTGGTGGAGTACGGTGCATTTGAAGATGTCGAATCAGGCATGTCCGATTAGAAATGGCAAACTGTAAACCCAAACCTTTTTCTGAGTCGACTCAAAACATGGCTGGCTGGAGGGGTACGGTGCGTTTCAAAGCTCCAGTATACATTTGTCAGAGAGGTTTTGGGTTCTATAGTGTGCCTCACGATTTGTTTTGGGGCAACTTTTCAAGTTCCTAAGGATTTTGAACCCCTCCTTTCAAATGTATACCGGAGCTGGTTGGCGGGGTACAGTGCGTTTTAAGATGTCCAATCAGGCATGTTTGGTTTGAAATGGCAATACTGTAAACCCAAACCTTGAGCTTTGAACCCATACCCTGAACCCTGAATCTTGACCCTGAGCCCAATCTCCTGTGCGTCGAAACTTCCCTTTTGGCAGGACATTTGGCAAGCTATTGAGTTCGGCCAGTCCAAGCCCCAGGCTCGAGTGGAGGTGAGTTGTTGCCGCTGTGCGGTTCTGTGCGGTGCCGTATGGTACCGTATGGTTGCAGTGTCCTGCTCCACCGTGTCTCACCGGACTGGTTGGGGCTGGGCTGGGTGGGCTGGACTGGGCTGGGCAGGGAGGGGGGGGGGGGGGGGGGAGGGGTGGGGGGCTGCCGTGGGCTGAGCTGGGCCGGGCTGGTCCGTCCTAAGGGAAAGTTCCTGGCCGGTGTCAGGCAGGCTGACACGAAGCTGTGAAGGGTCTCGATTCGATTGAGGATGATGTGGAGCGATCGCAGCCGTCAGTAGCCTTGTGTCAGGGAACTTGACACCGGCCAAGAACGTTCCCTAAGCCGTGCTGTTTTCCTACCTTCTTCTGCTATGCTCTCCCCTCCCCGCTCTACTCTGATCCTCTCCATTATGCTCACATGCTCCGTTTTTCTTTTGCGAGTGCGAAATCTCATTCTAAGAGATCATTCCCTCTATCTTCACACTTTCGTGCATGAATCCTTTGCTTGAAATTAAGAACCTTTACTTCTTCTCTTTCACTGTATCAGTCTTCCTCTCTTCTCACGCCCCCTCTCCTCTCATCAGGGGTCCACAGGAGTGAAGTTTGAGGACGTGGCAGGCATCGACGAGACCGTGCAGGAGCTGCAGGAGGTGAGTGGCATGATATTCAGTTCAACCGACCACGCACATACACGTTTTCTGGGTGTTGGTGTGGTGTGTTTGACATGTTTCTTCATGCACGCTTGCCAGGCATCGACGAGACTGTGCAGGAGCTACAGGAGGTGAGTGGCATGCCAAACATCTTGATACTAAACGTGTGCATGTATGTATCTTCCTCAAAGACCCTCAGCGCTTTTGAGTCGACTCAAGATGACTTTTGACTTTTGAGTCGACTCAAAAGTCACCTCAGGAGCTACAGGAGGTGAGTGGCATGGCATGCCAAACATCTTGTTACTAAACGTTTGCGTGTATGTATCTACCTCAAAGACCCTCAGTGCCTAAAACTCATGAGAACCAACCGTCTCTGTTCCTTTCCCTTCCACCCTCCCTTCCCAACCCTCCCCTTCCCTTCTCCTTCCCTTCTCCCCTTTCACGCATCACCTCTCAGCTCTTGCAGTGCTTCTAAGCTCCCCAGCGCTTCAACCTCATGGGAATCAAGCCCCCCTCCCTCCCTTCTGCCCTACCTTCGCACTCCTCCCTCCCCTTTCCCCCCTTCGCCCCTCTTCCCCTCTATTCATCTCCCCTCAGCTCGTGGAATATCTCAAAGACCCCCAGCGCTTCAACCTAATGGGAACCAAGCCCCCGCACGGCGTGCTGCTGGAAGGGCCGCCTGGGTGCGGCAAGGTGAGGCCCTTATTGTCTGTTTGCACCTCTGGCTATGGCATGAGGGCGACACGAGGTGGTGGTTACAGTGTGGTGTAAGTTTGCAATTGCTTAGCAACCAAGCTCCCCATGGGAACCAAACCCCTGCACGGAGTGCTCCTTGGAGGGCCGCCTGGGTGCGGCAAGGTGAGGTCCCGTTTGCACTGCTGTTTTGTCCCTCTGCTTGCCGCCTTGTGTTTTTGCCCCTGGCCTTTCATCACAATGAGGCCTTTTGAGACGTCTCAAAAGTCCATACATCACGATGAGGCCTCTCTGCCCCTCTGCTCTGTGCGGCCTTTCATCATCCGTTGTTCATACTGTTCTTCTTTCAGTTCTTTCCACTACTCTCGTCTCGGCTCCTCTCGTCTCGTCTCGTCTCGGTTTCAGTTCTCCTCCCTTCTTCTCCTGCAGTGCTTTTGAGGCGCCTCAAAAGTGGTTTCAGTTCTCCTCCCTTCTTCTCCTGCAGTGCTTTTGAGGCGCCTCAAAAGTGGTTTCAGTTCTCCTCCCTTCTTCTCCTGCAGTGCTTTTGAGGCGCCTCAAAAGTGGTTTCAGTTCTCCTCCCTTCTTCTCCTGCAGTGCTTTTGAGGCGCCTCAAAAGTGGTTTCAGTTCTCCTCCCTTCTTCTCCTGCAGTGCTTTTGAGGCGCCTCAAAAGTGGTTTCAGTTCTCCTCCCTTCTTCTCCTGCAGTGCTTTTGAGGCGCCTCAAAAGTGGTTTCAGTTCTCCTCCCTTCTTCTCCTGCAGTGCTTTTGAGGCGCCTCAAAAGTGGTTTCAGTTCTGCTCCCTTCTTCTCCTGCAGTGCTTTTGAGGCGCCTCAAAAGTGGTTTCAGTTCTCCTCCCTTCTTCTCCTGCAGTGCTTTTGAGGCGCCTCAAAAGTGGTTTCAGTTCTCCTCCCTTCTTCTCCTGCAGTGCTTTTGAGGCGCCTCAAAAGTGGTTTCAGTTCTCCTCCCTTCTTCTCCTGCAGTGCTTTTGAGGCGCCTCAAAAGTGGTTTCAGTTCTGCTCCCTTCTTCTCCTGCAGTGCTTTTGAGGCGCCTCAAAAGTGGTTTCAGTTCTCCTCCCTTCTTCTCCTGCAGTGCTTTTGAGGCGCCTCAAAAGTGGTTTCAGTTCTCCTCCCTTCTTCTCCTGCAGTGCTTTTGAGGCGCCTCAAAAGTGGTTTCAGTTCTCCTCCCTTCTTCTCCTGCAGTGCTTTTGAGGCGCCTCAAAAGTGGTTTCAGTTCTCCTCCCTTCTTCTCCTGCAGTGCTTTTGAGGCGCCTCAAAAGTGGTTTCAGTTCTGCTCCCTTCTTCTCCTGCAGTGCTTTTGAGGCGCCTCAAAAGTGGTTTCAGTTCTCCTCCCTTCTTCTCCTGCAGTGCTTTTGAGGCGCCTCAAAAGTGGTTTCAGTTCTGCTCCCTTCTTCTCCTGCAGTGCTTTTGAGGCGCCTCAAAAGTGGTTTCAGTTCTCCTCCCTTCTTCTCCTGCAGTGCTTTTGAGGCGCCTCAAAAGTGGTTTCAGTTCTGCTCCCTTCTTCTCCTGCAGTGCTTTTGAGGCGCCTCAAAAGTGGTTTCAGTTCTGCTCCCTTCTTCTCCTGCAGTGCTTTTGAGGCGCCTCAAAAGTGGTTTCAGTTCTCCTCCCTTCTTCTCCTGCAGTGCTTTTGAGGCGCCTCAAAAGTGGTTTCAGTTCTCCTCCCTTCTTCTCCTGCAGTGCTTTTGAGGCGCCTCAAAAGTGGTTTCAGTTCTCCTCCCTTCTTCTCCTGCAGTGCTTTTGAGGCGCCTCAAAAGTGGTTTCAGTTCTCCTCCCTTCTTCTCCTGCAGTGCTTTTGAGGCGCCTCAAAAGTGGTTTCAGTTCTCCTCCCTTCTTCTCCTGCAGTGCTTTTGAGGCGCCTCAAAAGTGGTTTCAGTTCTCCTCCCTTCTTCTCCTGCAGTGCTTTTGAGGCGCCTCAAAAGTGGTTTCAGTTCTCCTCCCTTCTTCTCCTGCAGTGCTTTTGAGGCGCCTCAAAAGTGGTTTCAGTTCTCCTCCCTTCTTCTCCTGCAGTGCAGTCCTCCTCCACATGTCTCCTCCCTCCCTCCCTCCCTCCCTCCCTCCCTCCCTCCCTCCCTCCCTCGCTCCCTCCCTCCCTCCATCAGACACTCCTAGCCAAGGCCATAGCAGGCGAGGCGGGAGTGCCGTTCTACCAGATGGCGGGCTCTGAGTTCGCAGAGGTGCTGGTGGGGGTGGGGGCAGCTCGTGTGCGTGATCTCTTCAAGCGAGCCAAGGTCAACAAGCCCGCTGTCGTCTTCATCGATGAAATCGACGCCCTCGGTGCCGCGTAAGTCGTCCCCTTCCCCCCCTTAGCTCTCTCTTCTCACCTGCGTAAGCTGTCTCCTCCCCCCCTACCCTCTCCTCTCACTAGCCTCCCCCATCCCTTTCACCTGGTGATTGTTAATAATAATATCGATACCTTTCCCGTGCCCTTTCCCTCTGCCTTCCCTCTCCCTCCCATCTCCCCCTCTCCCATTCCCTCGATAACTGTCCCGTGCTGGTGGGAGTGGGGGCTGCTCGCACTCCCTTATACACCTCTCCTCTCTCCTGCCTTCCCATTCACTCCCCCTGCCTCTCATTTTTCTTCTCCCCCCAGTCGCTCCTTGGCAGGGGGGATGAAGGCGCGGATGCGGGAGTGACGAAGAGAGAGACGACTCTCAACCAGCTGCTCATCGAGTTGGACGGCTTTGACACCGACCAGGGGGTGGTACTTTGATGCTAACATCTCTCTCCCCCGATCTCTTTCCTCCCCCCCCCTCTCTCCCTCTCCCTTTCCCCTCTCCCCCTCTCCTGCTCTCCGGTTTCCCCCTTTTCCCCCTTTCCCAGTCGCTCCTCTGCAGGGGGGATGAAGGCGCGGATGCGGGAGTGACGGAGCGTGAAACGACCCTCAACCAGCTGCTGATCGAGCTGGATGGCTTTGACACCGGCCAGGGCGTGGTGTGTTTCAATGCTGACCCCTCCTGTCCCTTCTACCCCTTGCGCCCCTGTCTTGTTCTCCCTTCCTGCAGCCGGTCATCAGCTGGGGGGGATGAAGGCGCGGATGCGGGAGTGACGGAGCGTGAAACGACCCTGAACCAGCTGCTTATCGAGCTTGATGGCTTTGACACCGGCCAGGGCGTGGTGTTTATCGGCGCCACCAACCGCATGGACATGCTCGATGCTGCCCTGCTCAGGCCAGGGCGGTTTGACAGGAAGGTGAGACTTGGGATAAAGGATAAATTGAAAGACTGGATGGTTGGAGGGAAAATAGGCAGTGGTCGCTGACAAGTGCGGGATGTTTTCCTTTTGAGTCGACTCAAAAGCAAGTGGGGGATGTGCACTTCACATACCAGTTTCTTCCTTGCCTTGCCATTCCACTGCACATCAGATCACCGTCGTGCCTCCGGGGGGTCCAAGGGCAGGGCAGAGGTGCTACTGGTGCTCCGGTCGCACCTCCGCCCTGCCTTGAGCACCAAGCAGGCCGCTCTGATCGCGCTGCTGAGTGGCATGTCTTCACTCTGACTGGCCTCTCCCTTGCGTTGCCACTTCTTTCCCTCTTGCGTTGTGCTTCAGATCACCATCGTCCCCCCGGGGTCCAAGGGCAGAGCGGATATGCTGAAGGTGCATGCACGCCAAGAAGGTCCATCTGACTGCTGGCAGACCACATCACCACTGCATCTCTTGTGTTTTCACCTGTCTCTCCCCTTCATTCCCCTTTGTGTTGTGCTTCAGATCACCGTCGTGCCACCAGGGTCCAAGGGCAGGGCGGAGGTGCTGAAGGTGCATGCGAAGAAGGTCAAGATGAGCCCCCACGTGGACCTCGACACGATTGCAGCCAACCTCGCAGGTAATCCCCTCAGACCAAACGTTTAGTTCAGAATGTATTCAGTTTTTTGGAACTCTTAAACCCATATGAACCCCGGAAAGGTCAAGATGAGTCCCCACGTGGACCTTAACACAAAACCCTCCTCAGGGTGGAATGGCGTGCAGCTGGCGAATTTATTGCAGGAGGCAACCCGTCTCAACCCCTTCTCAACCCTCTTACCCCCCTCAAACTCCTTTTCACCGCTTAACCCTCTCTTATCCAGGGTGGAGTGGCGCCCAGCTGGCAAATCTGCTGCAGGAGGCGGTGCTGGTGGCGGTGAGGAGGGGGGCGGGGGAGATAGACGACAAGGATCTCTACATGGCAGCGGACCGCCTCACCCTCGGCACGCCCAGGGAGTGATGGGGGGCAGAGCAGGGCAAGCACATGATGCCGCTGCTGCTGGTGCTGCTACTGCTGGGGGAAAACAGCCCTCTAAACCCCCCTCAAACCCCTCTCAACCCCTCCTTGAACCCTGAACCCCCAACCCCCAGGGTGGAGTGGAGCGCAGTTGGCGAATCTGCTGCAAGAGGCGGCGTTGGTGGCGGTGAGGAGGGGAGCGGGGGAGATAGAGGACGAGGATCTCTACACGGCAGCGGACCGCCTCACTCTCGGCACGCCCAGGGAGCGTTGGGGGGCAGAGCAGGGGAAGCACCCGATGCTGGTGCGGAGAATGGCGGTGCACGAGGTGGGGTTGGCGCTGACGGCGCTGCTGCTTATTGAGTATGACGACGCGCAGGTGGAGCCGCCTCAGCGACTCTCCATCGTGCCCCGAGGCGAGGTGAGAGTGGTAGGGTTGAGGGTTTATAGGGCTTCAGGTTAAGGGTCTAGGGCGCTGACTGACGGCGCTGCTACTGATTGAGTGTGACAAATTTCAGGTGGAGCTGCCATAACGCCTCTCAATCGTTCCTCGAGTTGAGGTCTCATCCTAGAGTTTCTGGGTTTAGGATTGAGGTGGGCACGAGGAGGCGAGCGAGGAGCGAAAGGTCGAGGTGCATTGGAGTGAAGAGCGAGCGGATGGAGGCGAGATTGATGCACTAAGAGCTGCAGCCTGGTTGATATGTTTTTGCAGTCAGTTAAATAGGTCCTTTTAGACTGGTTCGGCCACGTATATGCACGACTAAATAGCGCAAGTGAAAGAAATGGTTAAACGGGGTGCTGCTGCTGTGAGAAGACTGGGACTGTGCCTGCCGACACTGGCGCGGCTGCTTGTGACCCTGAAGAGGAGATCCATGTGCCTCTCTCCGACGATCTCGACAGAGTCGGTACTTTTCGCGTTTCATAATGATTGGCCTGGAATTTTCTGTATGCCAAGTGTGGAGGCGAGTGAAGATCGTCATTTCCCGATCATGAAAAATGACGATCTCCACTCGCCACCACAGTTGACATACGACAAATTCCAGGCAAGTCATTATGAAACTCGAAACAGCATCGACTCTGCCGAGGTCGTCCGGAGGGAGGCTGCTGGATTTCCTATTCAGGGCCACGAGCAGCTGCGCCAGTGTGGGCAGGCACAGTCCCAGTCGTCTCACATCAGCAGCACTCCGTTTAACCGTTTCTTTATTTTTTTTGCGTCTCCGTTTAACAATTTCGTTCCATTTCTTCTAAAACTCTCTTTCAATCCTCTTTCAACGTTTTCTGAACCCCTTTTCAAACGTTTCTTAATTCTCGTTCAACCCGTGTCGAATTCTCTCTGAAACGCTTTTTGTACCACCAGACACCCTCGTGGACCGTATTCAACCGCATTGACGATGAAGCGTACCTCTTTGAGAAGAGACGAACGCTGCTACACCGATTGCAGGTACTGTAGTGGTGGCTGCCGCTGCTGTTGCAGTTGCGGGTGCTGTAGCGATTCAATGGCTGTAGCGATTGCATTTGCTAAAGTGATTTTAAATGCTGTAGTGAAAGCAAGTGATGTACCTTCTTTTGAAGCCTCGGGGCCTTAGTGGATTAGACTCACCTGCATGAGTCAGTTTCACCTCCTATGCTTTGTGCGGACACACCATCATTGCCTTCTTTGCTTATGTAACATGGCAGGTGCTGCTGGGCGGCCGGGCGGCAGAGGAGGTGGTGTGGGGGCGGGACAGCAGCACGTACAGTCAGCGCCACGTGGCGGATGCTTCCTGGATGGCATACAAGTTTGTCTCCATGTGAGTATCTGGGCGGCACCGCCCTGGCTTGCAAGTCTGTCTCGATGCCAGAGTCTGGGCGGCACTTCCCCCCTCCCCTCCCCTCCCCCCCTCACTCAGATGGCACATGGCAGGGAAGGGGCTTCCTCATGACATCCCGCCAGCTTGGAAGCCCCTGATGAGGAAGCCCCTCATGTCGCGGAACTGCCCTGAACCCCTGATTCTTGACCTTTGTACCCTGAACCAAATGCAACCTGCCTCTCCTCCCTTTCCCTCACTGCTCTCCCCTCCCCCTCCCCCTCCCTCTCCCTCTCCCCCTCCCCTCCCACCCCCTCCTTCCCCAGATGGCACATGGCAGGGAAGGTGCTCCCTAGAGGCATCCCGCCTGCCTGGAAAGCCGCAGCACTGCCAGCAGCCCCTCAGAAGATCAGCCCAAACGCCCGCCCACTCTCTGAACCCTACCTCTTCCCCCCTGCTCTCTCTCTCTCCCACCACCAGATGGCACATGGCAGGGAAGGTACTGCCAAGAGGCATCCCGCCCGCCTGGAAGCGCCGCAGCACTGCCAGCAGGCCCTCAGAAGATCAGCCCAAACGCCCGCCCACTCTCTGAACCCTACCTCTTCCCCCCTGCTCTCTCTCTCTCCCACCACTAGATGGCACATGGCAGGGAAGGTACTGCCAAGAGGCATCCCGCCCACCTGGAAGCGCCGCAGCACTGCCAGCAGGCCCTCAGATCAGCCCAAACGCCCGCCCACTCTCTGAACCCTACCTCTTCCCCCCTGCTCTCTCTCTCTCCCACCACCAGATGGCACATGGCAGGGAAGGTACTGCCAAGAGGCATCCCGCCCGCCTGGAAGCGCCGCAGCACTGCCAGCGGCCCCTCGCTGGGCTTCGAGGGGAGTCTGTATGCTGACTATGGGTTCACTGGGGGGAAGATCAGCGATCATGCCGATGACGTGGCGGCTGACATGGCGCATGCTTTGCTGGACGAAGCGTACGCTGCCACGTGGCAGCTGCTGGCGGATCACAAGGCGGCCCTGGTCAAGGCAGTCAATGTGAGTTATTGGCTTTCAAGGCAGTCAGCGTTATTCATTGGCATGTCAGTGCAGTCAATGCAGTCAATGCAGTCAATACAGTCAATACAGTCAATACAGTCAATGCAGTCAATCCAGTCAATACATCATCACATGTATGAGTGTCTGCTGGGTAAGCTCTAGTTGTCTCAAGAGTCACAGCGTATGCTGCCACGTGGCAGCTGCTGGGGGATCACAAGGCTGCCCTGGTCAAGGCAGTCAACATGAGTTATTGGCGGATCAATGCAGTCAATGCAGTCAATGCGTCTTCGCATATATGTATGCATACTGCCAGCCGCCACGTGCTATCTGCTGGCGGATCACAAGGCTGCCCTGGTCAAGGCAGTCAACGTGAGTTATTGGCGGGACAATACACCCGATCTATACATACCTGCATATGTATGCATATACACATTTCTATCGAGAAGAATGTTGGTTCTATTTATGGAAATGCTTGGCGAATGGATTGGAGAATCTCTGCTTCAATAACTGCTGCTCCCGCTCATGTTTTCTACCTTCTCCGCTTTTATTGTCACACTTCAGGTGCTAATGGCGAAGGGAGAGATCCAAGGATCGGATCTGGATATCATCCTCGACGCCTACCCTGCTGGAACACCTGTCCAGGTGGTTGAAACAGAGGCGGCACCTGGGGAACTACCTGAAGCCTTTGCAGGGCATTCGGGGGACACAGAGAGCGAAGGAGAGGAAGAGGACGGAAGGAGGAGGAGGAGGAGGGAGGAGGGGGTGGAGGTGAGAAAAGTGGAAGGGAAGTTTAGGAGTGTGTTGGGAGGGATATTAGAAGAAAAGGGGAAGGAGGAGGTGGGGGAGGAAGGGGAGGGAGTGAGGGATGGTGAGTTTTGGGAGGGGGAGGGTGGGGTGGGGGAGGATAAGGAGGAGGGAAGAAAGGTGGAGGGACGCAGCTCTGAGGCTTCAGATGGGGAGAGAGAGAATGGGGATGATGAGGAGTGGGGGGAAGTAGAGACAGATGGGGATGAGGATGAGAGGTTGATCTTGGAAGCTATGGATAGGAAGGCAGTAGCGGTGGGAGGGAGTGGAGAGGAATTAAGTGGGATGGAGAAGAGTGGTGAGGGGCGACTTGGGGAAGAAGTGAAGGCGGCTGAGCCTCAAACGGTTGAGAGGAGTGCGGAGGTTTCTGTTTTAGGAGCAGAGGTTTCAGGAGAGGGTTTAGGAGGAGGAGACACTTCAGAAGCTAAGGTCATTGCTAAGAAGGCACAAGCTGGGGCGGTTGTGAGTGAGGGAGGAGCAGGAGGAGGCATGACGGCAGCAGTAACAGGCGCCAGTGCGGCAGCAGCAGGAGCAGCAACTGCTGTTACGCCCTCAGTCTCAGACTCTGTAACAGCAGCAGAAGCAGCAGCACCACTGGCGGCAGAAGTAGCGGCACCACTGGCGGCAGAAGCAGCTGCACCACTGGTAGCAAAAGAAGTAGAAGTAGAAGCAGAAGTCCCAACAGCAACAGAGGCTGCAGATGTAGCAGCAGCAGCTGCATCGAAAGCCAGCAGCAGTAGCATTAATAGCGGAAGCAGCTCCAGTGGCAGTGGCAGCAGCAGCAGTGATAGCGGAAGTGGCTCCAGTGGTAGTGGCAGCACTACCAGTGGTATTGACAGTGCGAAGCAGAATGGGGCTGCTTCTGCTATTAATGTGGTGAGTGGCGGGTCAGCTGTTGCTCTTATTTCCTCCTCTGCTTCTGTAGCTTCTCCCCCTGTTGTTGCCGCTACAACTTCCGTTGCTGCCGCTGCTCCATCTGTCGCTGCCGAAAAGGCACCAGTTGCAAGTAGTGCTGTTTCTAGTGCTGAGGGGGCGAGGGGAGAGGGAAAAGCAGCAGGGGTTGTATCGGTATCATCAGGGACGGCCACAAATTCCGTTGCTGCTGCTGCTCCATCTGTCACTGCCGCAACAGGTTTAGTCGCAAGTATTGCTGTTTCTAGTGCTGAGGGGGTAGGACCGTCGGCACCATCAGGGACGGTGGGGGGAGAGGGAAAAGCAGCAGGGGATGTAGCGGTTTCACAAGTGGTATCAAAGGTGAAGGAGCGGAAGGAGCGGACAGGAAAGGAGTATACAGTGTTCCATTACACCAGTGACGGAGAGACTATAAGCGGATCTGATTCTGATTCGGATTCGGATTCTGATTCGGATTCTGATTCTGATTCCAAAGAGGGGGTGGATGATGGTCGCCACAGTTTGGCCGGGCAGACCGGTCAGTCCGGGCTGACCGGTCAGGCCGGGCAGGCTGTGCAGACCGGGCAGGCTGGGCAGATTGGGCAGGCTGGGCAGATTGGGCAGGCTGGGCAGATCGGGCAGGATGATATGAAAGCACAGGGGGGTCCTGCAAGTAATGGAACTCTGGGGAAGCGGAAAGGTGATGAGAAGCTTGGAGCAGGTGAAAGTACTGGTGGTGCGGTTGAGATGGGGGATGGTCTCACGTTAGTGCGGCCTAATGGTAAGCAGACAGAGGAAGAGTAGTGTGGTTTATGTTGCTGTTGAAGGCGTGTGTAACGTTTCTTCCATGGTTCATCCAGTTGACAGCAGCTGTCTCGTGCTGTGTTTTTCTGAGGGGTTTCACTTCTGGAGCGGATATACAATGTTATGAGTGGATTAAATGTGTAGAAGTGACATAACTCATAGTCTATGCACGACGTGCTCAACATGAGATAAATTTTTCTTTTGAGAATGGCTTCATGCTCTTATTGGCTCAACTGCTTGTTCCCCCCATCAGCAGAGCTCTTGAAACCCCATTGCTGCTACTACGTATGAGACGATGTATTCACAAGAATGTAACAGCTCTACAGTCGTAAAATACTACGAGTTCCAAGGTTTGACTCGCAGCTCGTTGTGCCGAACCCGAACAAATATTTTGTGTGGCTTGTGTGGACGGGAATCCCGTGTTTTGGGGAAATTATTTTGGCAGTTCCCTCAGCCACAATAAATTCGAATCGCACGCGGGCCAGGAGGAGGACAAGGGGTTCATTTGATGCGATAAGGATGACGTCAGAAACTCGTCCCCATTAATTCCGGGGACGCGACCAGGGTGTTCTTGTTTAGAGGCCTCGTTTTCGAAGTCCCATTCTCCCCTTGAAGTGTTAGGGTGCGTTCCTAGCTTGTGTCAAACTTCCGGTTTTCCCGGGAGGCACGAAGGTTTAGGTCAAACTTCCTGTCAAACTTCGAGTCTTCCGAAAACAGAGGCGAAATTTAGCGGAAAGACCCGAAGTTGGTATCGGATGTCCGAAGTGGGACCAGCTTCGTGTCATCCCCGGAAGACCGGAAGTTTGACACGAGCCAGGAACGCGCCCCTAAGTGGCGTAGTCCCTCCTCTACAGTCCCATTTTTGGCGAAAAGTTTTTGCTGCAGCCAATCGGACGACTCGAATTGAACAAGACCAGATCACTCAGAATTTACCAAGATCGGAGGATTTTTAGATAATCACAAAATACATTATACTATAATTTCTTGCCTATAGAGACCGGTTCAAACCGCGCTCGACGATGCCATCCCATGAAGCTTGCTGACCGGCAGGAAAAAACCGGAAACCTGATAAATAAAGGCAACAAACAATGAGTTTTTTTTCTGCCCGTCGGTCACCTGACGATGACCAGCGCCGAGAACCGCGCGATAAGAATTTAAAACAAGCGCGGTCTCACTGTAAGGGTGCATTCTTGGCTCGTGTCTGACATGAGGGCAGACACGAAGTGAAGTTGAGGAAGACCCCAAGGAACCTGGAACTCTGGCAAATCAATGTTCGGAATACCCGAAGTGGCCCACTTCGGCTCTTCCGAACCTCCATCCAAACCTCCACTTCGTGTCTTACACGAGCTAAGAATGCGTCTTAATTTGATAGCGAAGGTTAAATTCAGCATTTTTTCCACTTTTCTTACAATCTCTGATTTTTCGGGTTATAGTCCCGTTAGCCTGGTGTTTGGTAAATTTCTCACATAGTCCACGCGCAGCATGTTTTTCCGTTGGACTATAAACGAGAACATTTGTAGAACGCCTAAGTTTTAAAAACTTCGTAATGTACAGGTAGGAGTGACGCTAGTCCATACTCGCATCTGGTATTGTTCTCCAAAAACACAAACGTAAGCACTGAAATTATCCCGCGGTATATTATGCGCGTGCAAAGAACAAGAGCCGTGCTGTGCTGTGCAGTGCACAGATGAGCACGAAATGAGCTTGAGAATTTTGCGGCGGGTAGGGGTGTAGAATGTGTCCACTACAAATGCACTGATTCTAGTTCAACACGAACAAACAATTTTAGGACGTGGCCCAGAGCGGGTCTGATCGGCAGTGATCTGCTCGGGTTGGATCTGATCGGGGCGACTTTGATCGCGCGGCGCGTGCCGCCCGATCAGAGCCGAAATTCCTCGAATGTGATGGGATGGTGCATGGCAAGCGCAAACACATTTCCCGCCAGCTTCGGGAAAAAAAATGGCGACAGCGAAAGGCATGAGCACTGCTCCAGCGATACCTGTGTCACCCTGTAATTTCGCAAAGGGAGACAGCAACGCTACGACGGCTCCAGAAAGTTATTGCAGTCGTGGAGGTAAGGCTAGGGCTACTCGAAACCCAGACGAACACTGTAACTTTTCGCTGGCGTCGCATAGGGGTGCAACCCAACGCAATCAACTGATCGTGCGTGATTGTGTGTGATTGTGTTTGATTGGGGTGTTTGAGGCAGTTGATCGAGATGGGGCGATCAGCTGATCGCGATCAGCTGATTGCCCCCGATTGCCTGAAATTGGCCTTGGGGCTTCCTGGAAGTTATTGATCGCTTCTGATCAAGGCAATCAGAAGCGGTCTGGGCCACGTCCTCAGTTCATCATGATGACTCCATTCCAGCGCAGCAGGCTCACTGCTGGCATGGCATGCCACATCTGGGATTCTGTACCGTACAGTAACGGGCCAAGTCACGCTCTGCTCTGGACATCATCCAAAAAGCCTGCCAGAAATTGATTCTTGTGGTGGAGGAAAACGGAATCGCCGCCTGGCTAGCTGGCCAAGTTTATTTCTGCAGAGTCCAGTTGGCGACCAGAACTACAGTTAACCCAGACACGGCGGAATCACGGTTGTCACTCGTGAGTGTGATTGTGAAGTTCGAATGTCATTTTTTCGAGGACAGTCTACACGACGCCCACTAGGGTGATTTACAGGCACGAAGTTACGAAAATAGGAAACGTGGGTGAGTTGTGGCATTCCGTCGAGTTCAAAGGATTTCCTTAAGGTTTTTAGGGCGCATTGTGAGTTGTACACTGAGAAATGCTCCCTTCACAAAGTTCACTCACCTGTCCCAAGTACTGTTACAGTAACCGCCAACAAGAACACAGGGTTTCCCCTCCCCAACACTGACGATTTTCAGTGGAAGCACTGTAGTAAGAAGAGCAGCAGCAACTGAAGCTCCATTTTCAGAGTCAGTGTGTGTGTGTGTGTGTGTGTGTGTGTGTGTGTGTGTGTGTGTGTGTGTGTGTGTGTGTGTGTGTGTGTGTGTGTGTGTGTGTGTGTGTGTGTGTGTGTGTTGTGTGTGTGTGTGTGTGTGTGTGTGTGTGTGTGTGTGTGTGTGTGTGTGTGTGTGTGTGTGTGTGTGGTGTGTGTGTGTGTGTGTGTGTGTGTGTGTGTGTGTGTGTGTGTGTGTGTGTGTGTGTGTGTGTGTGTGTGTGTGTGTGTGTGTGTGTGTGTGTTTGAAGATTTCACTCTATCCATTTCTACAAAAAACTGCACGATACCCTATCCAGCGCCATAATCTCTAACAGCCTTCATAATTGCTCCCTTCGCCACTCTGAAAGCCCTGCGGAACATCTGTAAGATCACCAGCCAAATTTGACGAGTTTGGAGTGAAAATGACTGCGCTAGAGGGGAGAGCGGGTGTCGAGCTAGAGACTATCCGTAAAACTCCATTCGACGCCTTCGGGAATGAGCGAATGTCAGGATGGAACGGCAGGCGTCGCGAGGACATGAAACGACTGACGGAAGACTGCGGCGGAGATGGTTTTCGCCTCGAAAGCGGGGACACTACTAAGACTCTTGAGCTCCTCCCTTCAAAGGACTGTTTACTAACTCGACCTTCTCCCGTAACGCTTCCGCTGAACGAAGCCATGCGACGAAACTTCGCGCAGCTCCGCTATGAAAGTCTGACACAGCTTCAAGTTGGACCCGAAGCAGGCGGAGAAGGCGAAGAAGGCGGACCAAGCGGCGCAGGCAGAGCAACTGGCGCAGGCGGAACAAGCAGAGCCATAATGGAGGTATTTATAGGCGAAAATCTTCCGCAAAAAAGCGTCGGCGCTGGCGGAAATCCGAGCAGGGCGGAAAAGAGCCTCGCGGAGCAGGAGCGGCGGAGGGTCGCCGCGCAGCCGGTTCCGTTTGTTGTTCAGGCCGAGCTGAATTTTGGAATAGATTGGAGGGATTACGCGGAAAACACGGGTTCGAAGAACGGGCCGGGGGGCGTTGCTAAGAATTGCGCGGAAATTGCTTCGCCGAGCTCTGGCGCATCAGTGGAATGCGCTCGCGTAGTGACTCCGCCGGCTGAAGGGAGCGATGGCGGAAGGAAGACGCCATGCGACGATGGTAACAATGATGGCGATCGTTTCGAGGGAAACTTCCCTTTGCCCGTGCAATCGCGTGACAACATCGGCTGCGTGGCGCCATTGAAAGCATCTGAATCACGCGATTCGCCATCGGAACGGCAATGGAACGCCACCGTCGGGCCAGTGCATGGCGGAACCGGCACCGGCGCGTCGGGTTTTGACCTGAACGAACCCCCGACACAGCAGGAGGACGAGTCGACTCATAGCGCGGACGCGGCGGCTCCGACCTCTGCTGCTGATTCTTCCCTGCGACGACGTCCCGACGCATTAACCACGGCGGAGGCGGCTTTTGCGGGCAGTTTCGATGGCTTACGTGGCGTCATTTTGACTACAGCGCCTCCAGAATCGCCTGCGACGATGGCGGTGGAGGAACGGCGACTTTCGTTGACACAGAACAAACGGAGCTGGAAAGACTTCGCGATTTTCGACACTGGCGGAGCGTTCGCGAGGGACAGCGCGGCAAGCGGCGGCTTGAGTGGCGAAAGCTGTGGCGTACGAAACGCGGCAGACATCTCGAACGGGCGCCGCCAGGAAATAGTATCCATGTCCTGGAAATCCGAATCGCGAGCGACAGCTCAGTTCGGAAACCCTAATTCGGCGGCGCATGGTTCGGCGGATTTTAACAGGCGAACGGCGGATTCTGCAGGAATTATCAAATCGCCGAAATTGCTGATGAACAGCTGGGGGATGGGGGGGAGTTGTGCGACGATGGGTAGCAGAGATAATAATTGCTACGAAGTGAACAAACCTAGTGTTGGGAATCTGGAGATGCTGACTTCAGCAACACCAACGGGGTTGCGTCGCAGTGATTGTAGCGCGGGTGGCTTCAGCGGAAATCTCGGTTTCGCAGTTCCTCGTCGCTCAGCATCTTTTCATTCGGCCCCTGTTGGGAACCATGGGATCCCCGTTACTGGGTCGCACTCGTTTTTGGAACCGCAGAGTGTTCTCGGCAAGCGCAATTCGGGTGGAGCAGCTATTGCAAATGTGGGGCGGCAATTTTCAGAGCCCCTTATTGCGAACAAGCGCCTTCATTTGAGTCACACCATAGACTACAGTCACAGTTTGAGCAATGGCGGTTATGGATTTGCCAGCCAGGGGCAGACTCATTCAGAAATGACATTTGCTACAAACAGGAGTGACGGGAGTAATCTCCGAAATGCCCTTCTCCAAAAAATGGCTCTTTCAAGGACACCCTCTGGCTCCACTCAAGCTCCAGAAGCACCGCATTGTCCGACTAAAGCAAGCGGGGAAATGAGGAGCTGGGGAGTCACTTCTGGAGCAAAACGCTGTGACTCAATAACGGGGATAGGGCAGACATCAAGTGGGAGTGAGTGGAGGAATCCAGAGGGGAAACATCTGGAGATGAGAAGCATAGAGGGACCAGTCGTAAGCACAGATAAGCGGTGGTTTCCACAATCTGCCTCCCAACCGGCTGGTGATCTTGGTAGGAGGAGTGCTCGTAACAACCCTCGATTTCGCCACTCGTTTGACTCTTTCAACTCCACATTTGATGGGTTAGATACTCTTGATGCAGATTTGATTGAGATTCGCCGTAGGGCAATGATGAGCCTGCCGCCCATTGGGACGCGCCACGTGCGGCCGGAGGGGTACACTTGCTCCTTCTGTGGCCTCAATTTCGCCACGTCACAGGCTCTGGGCGGCCACATGACCTGTCATCTGCGCAAAAGAAAACAAACCTTGCCTGACAAGGCCACTGATGGTGGTGCTACTGGTGGTGATGCTTCTGGTGCTGCTGGTGGTGCTGAAACAGCCTTTCAAAAAGTCCAGAGCAAACTAGCAGCAGCAGAAGCAACACCAGCAGCAGGAGCAGGAGCAAAAGCAGCAGGTGCAGCAGCAGGAGCAGCAGCTGTGGGAGGAACACTCACAGCAGCAGCAGCAGCATATACAGCAGAAGAGACAGCAGCAGCAGCAGCAGCAGCAGGTGACCGAGGGAGGTCTGCTCGCACGGGGATATTCTCTGGGTTTTCCCGCTACACGCATGCTATTGCCGGAATTGACCTGCTCGATTCGACTCCACCTGACTCGCACCACAAGAGCCAGAACATTTTGGTAACACAGCAGAGTAGATTCTTGCCTTCCATCCAAACCCTTGGCAACACTGATGGAATCGCTGGTGGTGGTGGTGGTGCTGCTGCTGCTGCTGCTGCTGCTGCTGGTGGTGGAGCTGCTGCTAATGCTGGTGGTACTAGCATTGATCAAACATTTGCTCAAGCGTCGAAAAGAGAGGGCGAAGGAACCAAGTGGCAGCAGCAACTTGAGGCGATTCAAGCAGCATTGAGTGACTGGAGGGAGAATGGGAATAAGCATCGTGGTTTGCCATGAGGTACAGTTAGTGTCTTTGTTGCAATACCTACACTAGCCCAACAGCCTTAATGCGATGCGAACCAACAGGCGTAGAGGAAAGACGGGGACTGTGCAGAGAACTAGGGGCAGACGCAAACCAAGGCAAAAGACTAGACGGTCTAGACCAGGTGTAAAGGAAAGTGGTGGGACTGGGAATTAGCCTCATGGGTTATTGCGTGCACCGAGTTTAGAAGTGTACTAATGAGCGAGTGTTTGTGAGCCAGTGCTAAAAGTGAACTATAATGAGCCAAAATCAAAAGGAGGAAATAACAAGGAATGCACAATACAGAACATGAGTCTTCCTATGTGCTGAATTATTTAACCGAGCTAAACTTCCGACTAGAATATATCAAGACCCTTCTATGCCCGACTCTTGCTGCTGCCGCCTCTCCTCTTCTTCCCCTGTAGTAAATGGAGTTAAAAAGTGCAGAATAAATGAAATGTATCAGCTAAACCTGACTCACTGTGCTATCCGAGTGCCATATCCTTAGGCTACGGTATGTGAAAGCACAATAATACTAGCGAGGAATCAACAAAGAGGAATGAGGAAGAAAGAAGAGGAAAAACATTGGAAGTGACAGTGGCAAAAACAACGTAGAGTGCAGAGCAGGCAGTCTGAAACCCGTACGGAGAGGCAATAGGAGCACATACTCATGAGTTCAATCATTGCTCGTTGCGTCTGTCTCTCCAGCTTGGCTAGTCGCTTTGCCACGTCCCGCCGTAAGTCCCAGTTGGGCTTGCGAGGAGCGATGGCTGTCACTGGGTCCTGGTGAGTTTGCGGTGCGGCAGAATAGAGGGCAGGAGGGATAGTGAGGGCAGCAGAATTAGTGCGCCTCTCCAGCTTGGCTAGACGCTTTGCCACGTCCCGTCTCAGGTCCCAGCTGGGCTTGCGAGGAGCGATGGCTGTCACTGGATCCGTCAGCCTCCAGAACCACCCCCATCTCCCCTCGTCTCCCCCCTTCCCTCCCCCAGCAATGGATTTTTCCTTGAAGCTTCCTAAATATGACTCCAAATTACCTCGTTGGGGTCTAGGAATAGAGGCTGGGCTGGGCGGCGGCAGGTTCCTGGAACTTGGGGTTGGGGGACTGACCAAACGCTTTCACCTCACATCCTTCAACCTCAGAAAGGGGTTTTCCCAGGAGATTCTTAAAAACGACACCGACTTACCTCATTCGGGTCTAGGAATAGCGGCTGAGCGGCGGTAGGTTCCTGGAACTTGGGGAGCTGCGCTGGAGGAAGCTTCCTCTCCATCAGCTGGTCGTCCCGAGGCAAGTAGCTCCGGAACCGAACCTCCGCTGCAGGCTCGTTCTCCCTGCAGAGCAACCGGAGGAGGGTTAGGAAGGGGTAGAGAGAGAGAGACAGAGCTATGAGCTTGGAGTTCAACCAGGAAAATCAAGAGAGTTTGAGAATTCTCAAAAGGGATGCAAAGAAGGGCGGGTTAGGGAAGGGGAGGCAGAGAACATTTTGAGTCGACTCAGAAGTCATTGACTTTTGAGTCGACTCAAAAGTCATCAAGACAGTTTGAGAATTCTCTAAAGGGACGCAGAGAAGGGTGGGCTAGGGAAGGGGAGGCCGAGAACAGAGGAGACAGAGGTACGAGCTTGGAAATGAACAGAGAAACTTCCTCAGAGCTAAGAATGTTTGAAACGCATGTACGTGCTTCAAAGCGATTCTGAGAGGTCTGAGACCAATTCTGAAACGTACGAGCTAAGAGGTCTGAGACCGATTCTGAGAGGAGGAGGAGGAAAAAAAGGAGTCGTACGTACGGGGAGCGGTGGACTTTTGAGGCGCCTCAAAAAAAGGAGACGTACGTACGGGGAGCGGTGGAGAGCACATGCGTGTACGGGACATTATGAGACAAGAGCGCGGCATTTCTCAATACACGGACTGTTGCCTTTAGAGTCGACTCAAAAGTCAACTGGTGAAACGCACGTCTGTATACGGGACGTTACGACGCACGAGCGTGGAGTGACTTGCGCTGCAAATCCACTTTTGAGACGTCTCAAAACGGGACGTTATGAGACAAGAGCGCGGCATTACTGGGGTCGCGGACTGCTGAAACGCACATCTGAATACGGGACGTTACGACGTACGAGCGCGGCGCGGCGCGGCGCGGCGCGGCGTGGCGTGGCGTGGCGTGACTTGCGCTGCAAATTCCCAACAAATTGACGCCCCCCACCCTCCTCCCTTTCCCCTCCTCCCAGCCCACACCCACCATACCCCCATCCCAACAACCCCTCGCCCTTCCCTCCCTTTCCCTTCCCTCACTCCTCTCCATACACCACCCTTTTACCCCTTCCCCCCACCACCCCTCCCCCTCCCCCTCCCCCACCTCTCCCCCTCCCCCACCCCTACCCCATCCCTCCCCCCAATCCCCCGGAAAAAGGTCATACTTTCCATCGTCGCCGTCTGCTAGCAGGCTAGCCGTCTTCTCGCCGTCAGTTGTGACGATCGACGCCGCCTCCCTTAACGCTCGCAGCCGCTCTTTCCGCTCCCGCGCCGCTTCCTCCAGCTCCATCCCTCCCCGCCGCGCGCGTTTAATCAAACCACACTAACGGTAACTTTTGAGTCGACTCAAACGTCACCTTGCCGCCGCGCGCGTTTAATCGGACAAGTAATGGTAACCTAGGACCACCAACGAACGGCGTGCAAATGACGAGAGGCTCTCTTTTCAACGGGCTAACAACACAGCGTAACGCCGAATACAAGATATCGCACGGCGCGCAACGAATGGCTATATGAAACCCTAAAAGAACTCGAAACGGGCGTGCGGGTGCAACTACCGAAGGTATATAACTTGTAGGAAAGAGAAACCACGAATCAACCCGGTGAGCTCGCAGATGACTAAGTAAGCGATTAGTTAGTAACGACGACCTAGCTTTCCGAGGCGCGAATTAATGGAACTGGATCCTGATCAGCAAAGATGCAACTAGTACGACACTATCGTATCCCTACGTATGATACTATCACATCGCCGATTCTGCGGCTGGGAACTGCGGCGTCCGTCGTCTCTATAAACTGTTACTCGATAGACCGCGTTTCCGGGGCAGGGCTGTCGCTTGCAGGGCGTTTGCCCTGCTGGACCTTGAATTCCAGGGTTGGGTTGCCCTTGAAAACTGAAATTGATGGGTTGGAAATATTCTGGCCCTGATTCTTTACAGGGCTGATTTCGGGCTCAAGCCTGGTGTATGAAGGGTAGATTTTGGGCGAGCCCTGGAACAAAATATTTCGAGCCCCCCTTCTCCTCCCCTCCCCCCTCCCCCAACACTCCTCCCTCTCCTCTCCCCTTCGTTTCTAACCTGATTGCATCCAACTGGCAATTTTCGAGTTGCGTGGTTGGGCCACAAATTCAACTCAAACTACGTGAGAAAACTTGTGCTTGAACAAATCACAGCTCGCTCTCTGTGGAGTGGGTACCGGTAGAAGTGCACAAGAACTATCCTGTGGAGTGGGTAGAAGTGCCCAAGATCATCGGTTCTGCAAAGGCTATGAAGCCCGCAAAGCGTGCGTAGTGACATGACGCTAACTAATTCTCCTATGTCGTGTTGCTTGTGGTTGATCTCAAACGTAGATGTAAGCTTGGTAGTTGAAATGAGGCTCCAGAATTTTCCGCGCCCAACCTGATTCAAGGGAGGAAAATTTTCCAGCCCTGAAGCCTTAAGGGCCGAGACTCGCCCCAAACCTGCTAAATACAGGGTCATACATGCAGGGCCCCCTGATTTGTCCGGGGGGCCCAAAACGAAACGACAGGCCTGTTCCGGGGTGTTCCGCAGAAGAGCGATTGGTCTATATATTTAGAACGGTTGAGTAGAGCGGAGGCCGGTTTCGAGCAAAACTAAGCAATGACACCTGCAAAAGGGAATCAGGTGTTCTGAGGTTTTAGATTTAGATTATACGTTTTATGTTTTGTTGTGTGCTATTTTTTTTTTCCTTATTTATTCACAAAACTCAATGAATAGCTAGCTCTTGCTTCATGCCTCCCGTGCACAATCTAACAACCGCATGTCTCTTCTTTCAATGCCGCTGCCATGAAGGAGATTATACGGTATATTGCTTGAAAATAATAATGTAGACCTTTCAAGGTGGCGCATTCAATACCCAGCCAAGGGCAAGAACAGCTGTAGTTCCTCTCCAAGCTAGCCTGATAGCCCCATCCTCTAGCAATAACCCAAACCCAAGAGGAAACCTTTTCAGCATACTATGCATAGCCTCGGTAACAGCTCCGGGGATCTGCTTCGGCGCAAACCCGAGCCTGAGCATCCTCCCCCGCCATTGGTCCAGAGTCTCGGGCCGATGCAACCGCTCCACCCCTTCACAGGACACAATATTCACGATCGCCCGGCCAAAATAAAGCTCCTCGAAAATGGAAAGTAGGCGCTTGTCGGCCGCGCCAATTAGAGCGTCGTGGGAGGAGAAAACGGAGAGGTGGTAGTCGAGGGCGTGTTGGAATCGGGAGAGGAACGGGCGGGCGTTGGAGTCAAGATCCATCTCGACAAAGGTGAAGAGCGCGGGCTTTAAGTCGTGGATCCACTAAGGGGTGGTGAAATGCGGGAGGGGACAGGGAAGAGAGGGGGGGGGAGGGGGGGGGGGAGGAGAAGGAGCCTTTTCGTGGAGGCAACACAACACAACGCCCCAAGATGGGGAAAGAGGTAAGCGCGTCGTAGGAGGAGAAGACGGAGAGATGGTAGTCGAGGGCGTGGTGGAATCGGAAGAGGAACAGGCGGGCGTTGGAGTCAAGATCAATCTAGACAAACATGCAAAGCGCGGGCTTTAAGTCATGGATCCATTGGGGATGGAAGGAGATGGGAAGTAGGGGATGTGAATACAGGATGGGAATCGGGAATCGGCAAGCGATCATTTCATTGGTCGATTATCAGTTAAAGGGGTGGTTACCCTGAGATTTCATGAGCTGAAGGGGTGTAAAGATGCACCACCTCTACACTCCTTAGAATGCTATTTCCCTGGATTATTTACCCAATGTGTGCTGATTGAACTGGGCTACTCACCCTGAGAATGCAGTCTCTGGGCCCTCGGTCCATAACAGAATCATCTGGGAAGTTCATGAGCTCGAGATGTGCGCACACCACCAGTGTTTCACTCCACCTCCTCTTGACCTGCAGAGGAATGGGGAGAGTAAGGGAGAGATAGAGAGGGGAGAGATAGAGAGGGAAGAGATAGAGAGGGGAGAGATAGAGAGGGGAGAGATAGAGAGGGAAGAGATAGAGAGGGGAGAGATAGAGAGGGGAGAGATAGAGAGAGAGGAAGAGATAGAGAGGGGAGAGATAGAGAGGGGAGAGATAGAGAGGGGAGAGATATTCACATCGTATCACTAAGAGAGACAAAGTGGTAGGTCATGGGCTCGAAATGTGCGCACACCACCAGTGTCTCACTCCACCTCCTCTTGACCTGGAGGGGAGAGAGAGAGAGAGAGAGAGAGAGAGAGAGAGAGAGAGAGAGAGAGAGAGAGAGAGAGAGAGAGAGAGAGAAGAGACAGAGAGGAGGTAGGGGAGGGAAGGGGAACGGGGAAAAAGGAGGTCATGAGCTCGAGATGTGCGGATCTCAATCCACCCTTTCTTCACCTGGAGGGGTTAGGTGAAGGGAGAGAGAGGGGTGAGAGGAGGGGAAGGAAGTTCATGGGTTGGAGGGATCCGGACACAAGGCTACTCAAGAGGCACCTCAAGAGTCGCCAGACACAAGGAATATGACGCATGCAAACACCCTCCTGGTATAGAAAGTGCAGCTGATTCTAATCACTATCCACATACTCACTCTCCTTGGTACACTAGACACCGAACGTGAAGCATACAAGAAGGATTCAACCCACCTGGTACAGCAGGTGCGGCTGACTCTCGTCTATATCCACGTACTCAAACTCGAAAGGCACTCCCAGCCGCATCGCCATCCCCCTCAGCCTCGTTCCCACCTCCGCCACCACTCGAATAGTGAACAGACACACTCACCTGGTACAGAAGGTGCAGCTGACTCTCGTCTATATCCACATACTCAAACTCGAACGGCACGCCTAGCCGGATCGCCATTGGCCCATTCCCCTTCGTACATATGGTACTTGGCATACGAGGGATGCTTAAACTCACCTGGTACAGAAGGTGCAGCTGATTCTCGTCAATATCCACGTACTCAAACTCGAAAGGCACTCCCAGCCGCATGGCCATCCCCCTCAGCCTCCTCCCCACCTCCGCTACCGCCCGCAGGCTCTTAAAATCCTTCCGCCCCGGGCAGACGAAAGTCGTCGTGTCCAACCCCGTGACGCGGAGGTGCGGCGGGCCGCCCGGGCGGGCAGCTAAAAGTTCCATGATGGTGGGCAGGTGGAAGGGGAGGAGTTCTCCGAAGTCGATGAGGTGGACGTGGGTGGCGGAGGAGACGGTGTGGAGAAACATCCCCGTTATTGCCATGTTGCCAAAGGCGGGGTATGGCGTGCTAGTAGCGAACCAGGTGCGTGCTTCATCCAACTCCTGGAAAGATAGGGGTGGAGAGAGGTTGAGATGGGTGGGAAGCGGTAGAAAGGGGTAGAGAGGGGTGAAGAGGAATGGAGAGGGGGTGGGGAGGAGTAAGCAAGAAAAACGGAGTGGAAGGGGAGGAGTTCTCCGAAGTCGATGAGGTGGACGTGGGTGGCGGAGGAGACGGTGTGGAGAAACATCCCCGTTATTGCCATGTTGCCAAAGGCGGGGTATGGCGTGCTAGTAGCGAACCAGGTGCGTGCTTCATCCAACTCCTGGAAAGATAGGGGTGGAGAGAGGTTGAGATGGGTGGGAAGCGGTAGAAAGGGGTAGAGAGGGGTGAAGAGGAATGGAGAGGGGGTGGGGAGGAGTAAGCAAGAAAAACGGAGTGGAAGGGGAGGAGTTCTCCGAAGTCGATGAGGTGGACGTGGGTGGCGGAGGAGACGGTGTGGAGAAACATCCCCGTTATTGCCATGTTGCCAAAGGCGGGGTATGGCGTGCTAGTAGCGAACCAGGTGCGTGCTTCATCCAACTCCTGGAAAGATAGGGGTGGAGAGAGGTTGAGATGGGTGGGAAGCGGTAGAAAGGGGTAGAGAGGGGTGAAGAGGAATGGAGAGGGGGTGGGGAGGAGTAAGCAAGAAAAACGGAGTGGAAGGGGAGGAGTTCTCCGAAGTCGATGAGGTGGACGTGGGTGGCGGAGGAGACGGTGTGGAGAAACATCCCCGTTATTGCCATGTTGCCAAAGGCGGGGTATGGCGTGCTAGTAGCGAACCAGGTGCGTGCCTCGTCCAGTTCCTGAAAAGGGAGGGGTGGAGAGCGGTGCAGTGCGGTGGAGCAGTGGAGGTCAGAGGAGTGCGTTGGAGTGAGAAGGGGAGAAAGGAGAAACATCCCCGTTTTTGCCATGTTGCCAAAGGAGGGGTTCGGCGTGCTTGTAGCGAACCACGCGCGTGCTTCGTCCAACTCGTGAAAAAGGAGGGGTGGAGAGGGAGGAAATAGCACGTGAGAACACTGGGGTAGGCGTGCTTGTAGCAACCAGGCCCGCGAGGTGACTTTTGAGTCGACTCCTTTGTCCAACTCCTGAAAAAGGAGGGGTGGAGAGGGTGGAAATAGCACGTCAGAAGGAGGGCACGTGAGAACACTGGGGTAGGCGTGCTTGTAGCAACCCAGGCCCACGCCGCGCTTCATCAGCTCCTGAGGGGGAAAGGGGAGGGAAGAAGGGAAGTGGGAGTGGGAAGGGAGGAACATTCCCGTTATTGCCATATTGCCATCTAACACAGGGCAGTGGCAAACCACCCTAACATGCCTAAGGGAGGAAGAGTGGCCCGTCTCTATAGCCCTCTTGAACAACCCAATGACTACTACGTGGATATTTTGAGGCGCCTCAGAAGGGGAAGGGGAGTAAGGAGAGAGGAACATCCCCGTTATTGCCATATTGCCTAAGGAGGGAAGAATGATACTAAAAACCTGCGCAACCTGGGAAGAGTGCCTCGTCTCTTGAGGACTCCTGAACAACCCTTTCACTACTATGTGGTATATCACTTGTTATTATCACACCCACTTTTAGCATAACCTCAATATAGTTACACAACCACGCACCTTGGAAGTTTTCCGAACGGGAGAGCTGAAGTAATCATAACCCGTCCCTTGCAACCGCTTAAACAACCCCCTGCCCCCCCCCCCCCCCCCACCTCCCTCTCATATAGCAAATCGCTAGCTAAAATCACACGCATTACTATCAGTCCACAATCACACACCTTGGGAGTTTTCCAAACAGGCGTGCTGAAGCGCTCATAACTCGTCCCTTGCAACCGCTCAAGTAACCCCTCCACCATGTAGTGAATCAATCATTATTATCACACCCATTACTACCACACACCCACCCACAATCACACACCTTGGGAGTTTTCCTGACAGGCGTGCTGAAGTGCTGGTAACCTGTCCCTTGCACCCTCTTAAAAAGCCCATCCACCATATAGTGAATCAGCCGTTCCATGGCCGTTCCCTTGGGCCGTGCAAGGGGTTTGAGTTGCAAGTATGCCTGCTGTACTAGCGCCTGGAGGGGCGGGGGGTGGATGGGAGGAGGAGAAAAGGGGGAGTAAGGGAACCCCAACAGCCCCTCCCTTCCACCATGTAGTGAATCAGCCGTTCCATGGCCGTTCCCTTGGGCCGTGCCAGTGGTTTGAGTTGCAAGTATGCTTGCTGTACTTGCGCCTGGAGGGGCGGGGGAGGGGGAAGGGGAGGAGGAGAAAAGGGGGAGTAAGGGAACCCCAACAGCCCCCCCTCCCTTCCACCATGTAGTGAATCAATCTCTCCATGGCCGTCCCCTTGGGCCGTGCAAGGGGTTTGAGTTGCAAGTATGCCTGCTGTACTAGCGCCTGGGAGGGGCGGGGGAGGGGGAAGGGGAGGGGGAGGGGCACCCCGCATCAATTCCTCGCACACCGCACTCTACCACTCTCTACATCTAGCACCCGCTTAAATAACCCTTCCACCATGTAGTGAATCAACCGTTCCATGGCCGTCCCCTTGGGCCGTGCAAGAGGTTTGAGTTGCAAGTATGCCTGCTGTACTAGCGCCTGGAGGGGCGGGGGAGGGGGAAGGGGAGCTAAAGTGCCGGTAACCCGTCCCTAGCACTCGATCGAACAGCCGCAAGCGGCTGTGCAAGCGGCTTCAGTTGCATGCGGGTAAGCCTGCCTGCTGGACCTGCACCGCCTCAGCCATAGGTGTGAGCTGCCTCCTTATAAACTCCCCGCCTGCTTCTCTTCTACTCGCCATGCCTCTGCCTTCCACAGCCTCACCCGTAGCTGTGAGTTGCCTTTTCATAAACTCTTCCCTGCCTCCCTGCCTCCCTCTGCCTAAGCTTCTGTCTGCCTGCCTTTCCTCAACTCACCACGTCTCTGTTCTCCACAGCCTCAGCCACGGCAGTGAGTTGCCGCCTCACAAACTCCTCTGGAGATCGGAACCTTCCTTCCTTATCTCGCTCTCTTGCTCTCTCCTACACCAGCTCTCCGATCCCAACTCACCATGCTTCTATTCTCCACTGCATCAGCCATGGCAGTGAGTTGCCTCCTCATAAACCCTTCTGGCAACCGGAACCTCTCTACTCTCACCACGTCCCTCTGTCTCAACTCAACACTACGTCCCCTCATCTCAACTCACCACGTCTCTGTTCTCCACAGCCTCAGCCATGGCAGTGAGTTGCCTCCTCATAAACTCCTCTGGAGATCGGAACCTTCCTGCTGCTGCCTCGCTCCTTCCTGCCACTGCCTCGCTCCCGGAGAGGGGCATTTGCCGAGGCAAGCCGAACCGCGCTGGCTCGGAAGCATCTGCGCGAGAAAATTCTGCCCGAGAAATAATTGTCCGGGAAAAATCTGCCCGAGAAAAATCTGCCCAAGAGTCTGCCGTGCCTCTATGTGCCAACTCAGGAGAAGCAGCAAGGGCAGATGAAGGTGAAGGTGGTAGGGGAACTTGGGATGCAGCAGCATAGGAGGGAGATGCTTGGGATGCAGCAGCATAAGACGAAGCAGCATAGGATGGAGCAGGGGAGGATGGTGCAGCAGAATTTTTCCTGCTTCCTTGTCTCCCAATTTGTGCGTCTACTGCTCTGCTCCCTCCAGCTCCTCCTCCTCCTCCTCCTCCTCCTCCTCCTCCTCCTCCTCCTCCTCCTCCTCCTCCTCCTCCTCCTCCTCCTCCTCCTCCTCCTCCTCCTCCTCCTCCTCCTCCTCTTCCCTCTCTCCCAAAATCAACACCTACTGCTTTAGCTGTAGTGACTAGGTGTTCCCCTAAGCTCCCCCTCGTTACAAGAACACTCCCCTCCGCTCTTGTCACATCCAACACGTCAGCAGAATCCAGAAAATGCTTCTTATTGGCCAAATCTCGGGTGGGCGGCAACGCCGCCGGCTCCGATGCTTCTTGGAAGCTTCCAGAACCAGCTGCTGCCGCCGCAGCCGCCGCCGCAGCAGCAGCAGCAGCAGCAGCAGTTACACTCCCAGCCTCCACAAAAGAAGAATCCTAAGAAAACGGAAAAGCCTTTCCATACCTCTCAAACCCTGGGGCCAGGGAAAATCGTCCTGCCTCCTGAGACCTTCCCCTTCCTGCTGCTGTTTCCCCTAGCCTCCCTGATGCTGCAACTACTGCTGCGGTTTCCCCCAACCCCCTGCTGCTGCAGCTACTGCTGCTTCTCCCATCTCCCCTGCTGCGGATGGCGGTTGAGAGAGGGTGGTGAGCTTGCTTGTGACTATATCGAGAGGAGGTTCGGATTGTGACTGTAGGTTGCTGAGAAGGGCGGCAAGGCGGGAGGCTAGATTGGAGGGTTGGGTGGGTTTCCTGGTGGCTGTTACAAGGGCTGTTGATGCAGCTGACGAGTCCGGCTGATGCTCATACTGCTGCTCTTGCGGCTGTAATTGCCAGTAGGCTAGATTGGAGGGTTGGGCGGGCTTTCTTGTGGCTGTTACAAGGGCTTCTGATGCGGCTGACGTGTCCTGCTGATGCCCATGCTGCTGCTGCTGATGCTGCTGCTCCTGTTCTTCCTGATGCAGCAGCAGCTGCTGCTGCTGCTGCTGCTGCTGCTGCTGCTGCTGTTGCTGCTGCTGCAACAGAAGCAGCATGTGTTGTTGCATCTGCTGCTGTTGGTGATGTTGGTGCTGTTGCTGTTGTTGCTGCTGTTTTTGCAGCAGCTGCTGCTGCTCCTGCTGCTGATGCTGCTGCAGAAGCAGCATTTGTTGATGCATCTGCAGTAGCTGAACTTGCATCAAGTACTGTTGGACAGTAGGAGAAAGCATAGCACCCTCTGCTGCCTGTTCTGTGCCTCCTCCTGCTTTTTCTCCTACTGTTCCTCCTGCTCCTCCTCCTCCTGCTGCTCCTCCTCCTGCCCCCCCTGGCGCACCTCCTCCTTCTGCTGCTGCTAGAGTTTCTGCACCAGCAGATGTAGCAGAAGCAGCAGGTGCGGCAGATGCATACGAAGACGCAGCAGAAGCAGCAGCAGAAGCAGCAGCAGAAGCAGCAGCAGCAACAGGAGCAACAGGAGCGGAAGGAGCAGCAGTGTAAGAACCCCAAGCATAAGGGTGAGCAGCAACAGCAGAGGGGACAGTTGAGGGAACAGCAGTTGGAGAAGAGGAGGGGATCGAAGCAACAGCAGAGGGGACAGTTGAGGGAACAGCAGTTGGAGAAGAGGAGGGGATCGACTGCATGTGAGATGGGATCAACTGCTGATCCAACGGTCGCTGATGCAACGGCTGCTGATCCAACGGCTGCTGATGCCACATGTGCTGCCTGATCTGCTCTGCTGCTGCCCCTAGCTCATCAACAACCATCCTCTCACCTCCTAGACCCCTCCCCCTCTGTGACATTGCAACCACCGTCCTTTCTCCCTTCTTGGCCTTGTCTCCTTGAACCAAGCACCCCATTTCTGCCGCTCTTTCATATCCTTCTACTCCCACTGCTGCTGCTCCTGCTGCTGCCTCTCCTGCTGCTCCTCCTAGTGCTCCTGCTGCTCCTCCTACTGGTTCTGCTGCTGCTTCTCCTGCTGCTGAACCTCTCAGTCCTCCTCTTCCTCCTCCTTCTCCTACTGCTCCGCTTTCTGAACCTTGGAACCTCAGCAGACCACCAAGCTGCAATGCTGCTTCCACACTATCCCTCGGCAGCAACACACCTCCTCCCCTCACTCTCATCTCAACCTCCTCCTCACCCTCTCTCTTCACAGTACCTCCCTCACTCGCTCCTCTCAAAAACCCGAAACCCTCTTCCGCTCTTTTCCGAACTACCCTTCTCTCCTCCCTTCTCTCGCACGTACCCTGCCCGTCACTTAAACTCTTCCCTCCTCCATTTCCTCCTCCTTCTGCTCCTCCCCTTCCTCTCCCACTTACACTCTCCATCAGGCTTTTCGCAATAGCTTCCCATTCATGCTGTTGCCACTGCTTTTGCCCCTGCTGCCCCCCCTGCTGCCTCTGTTGCTCTTGCTGCAGCTGTGGTTGTGGTTTCTGCTGTTGCTGCTGCTGGTTACGCTGCTGCTGGTGCTGCTGCTGCTGTTGCTGCTGCTGTTGCTGCTGCTGCTGCTGTTGCTGTTGCTGCTGGGAAAAAGGATCCAGCATCGTTTGAGGACCCTCAAAAACAGCCTGTGGCATAAAAAACTGCTGCTCCTGCTGCTGCTGCTGCTGCTGTTGCTGCGGCTGCTGCTGCGGCTGGGGATAAGGACCCTGAGGTATCAGAGGCGCCTGAAAAACACCCTGAGACAACAACAGTGGCTGCTGCTGCTGATTCTGCAAAGAGGACTGCAGCAGCAGAGCTGGTTCCAGTAGCAGCCCCTCCTCTTCGTTTACATCAGAAATAGGCGCAAAATCATTGCTCATCAATCTGTTGATTGCTGCGCTCTCTAAGTTGCATCCGCTCCCCAGAATCTCTAGAAGATCGCCGCCCAGATTGTCAACTACGTTGCCGCCCGAATCTCCAATCAAATCGTCGCCCGAATTTCCTGGTGAAGCTCCCAAGGCATCATCCCCTCCTAATATCTCCTTCCACCACTGCTGCTCGTCTAGCACGCTCTTTTCTCGTGATGGGACATCCCGTAACGCGTATGGAACTTCAGGAGGCGCCTCCTGCTTTACCTTCCCCCTTTCCCCTTCCTTCCCCCTTTCCCCTTCCTTCCCCCTTTCCCCTTCCTTCCCCCTTTCCCCTTCCTTCCCCCTGGGAAAATGTCCTTCCTGGTTTGCACTCTCTTCCTCTAGCTTTCCCTTCCGTTCCCCTTCCCTCCCCTGGCTAACACTCCTAGCTTCCATCCTCTCGTCGTCCCCTTCCCCCTCCCCGTTGCCCTCATCGTCTAGGCCAAACCTTGCCGGCCAATGCCGCTTTGCTGTGATTGGTCGGCCATCCTTTGAGTGCTCCTTTGAATGCTCCATTGCAAAGGCTTTGGGTTGCAAACTTAGGGGGTAGTAACGCGCAGTTATACGCCAACAGCAGTTATATGCCCCGCGTGTGCGCAAGGACTAGCTTGTAAAGCATAACGAAGCTGTGTTGTAGCATCTTGTAGCGAGTACAGAAGACCTGGGATTGTGTAGTGACGCGGGTACGTTTTGTAAGTGGGTGATGGAAAGGAGTGAGGGGAAAACGGTGCGGGGAGAAGGAAGGAGAAGAGGTTGGGAGGATGGGGAGGGAAGAAAGTTAAAAAGAAAAATGTATTCTTTTCATGGGATAGAGTGAAGCAGAGAAAGAGCGAGACAAAAATAATATCATCTTGATTCCAGCTTAGTTTTTTGGAACGACTGCGTCAAGAAAAAAAAGTGCGCGATGGTATTGATTGCAAGGGAGAAAGCAGGGTTTAGGGAGGAAGGAAGAGAGGGAGGGAGGGAGGGAGGGAGGGAGGGAGGAGGGAGGGAGGGAGGGAGGGAGAGAGGGAAGGAGAGAGTGAGGGAAAAGAGATCCCTTCCCTTCTCAGATCTGGAATTGATTGAAGCAGGAAAAGAGAGAAGGAATCTCAGGAATTCGGGAACCATCATTTGCACGCAGTGCGTGCGAGGGGGCGAAGGAAGATTATGTGTTTCGTTCATATGATACGGGTCGTTTTTTAAGTGACGTCATCCCAGCACTGATCATGATCGTTACGACATTTAATTTTCAATGTGGGAGCTAACGACGCGAGTAGACCAATCTCAGACTGTGATTCGGTACTGATTGGCCGTCATGACAACAAATTTCCGTTGTTGCTGTGAGGTAATTCCGAGGAATGCGGGAGACGCTCGGCGGGATCCCTGAAGGCGGAGAATCTTTTATTACTAATTTCAGTTTGATGACTAATTTCTGACTGATTTTCCACAATTATGCCCGTCGCAAGCAAAAATATCCACAAACGGATCGGAAATAGCGAACGTATCAAGGATCCAGCACTCACGCAGCATGGGGAGCAATCGTAGTAGCAGCTTTGCCGCAAAGCGGCTTGAGTGAAGTCTGATGTTCAAGATTTGTTTCAGTGAGACACAAACAGCTACAGAAGAGCGGTTGGAGCAGGAGATGCTGTTCTCAAGTGTGAGGCGTGTGCTTTCTGCGGGGAGGGAGGGTTTTGAGTTTGGTGGAGGTGAAGGGGTTTCGGGGTTGCACTCGGCCGGACTGTGGAGCGGCAGATTCCACAGAGTGATTGGATTTGATAATTTGTGCGGCGAACTCGACCGCAACCACGAGAACGCCAACAACTCTGTCGCACGAACTCCGGTGGAATGAAGCGCTTGCTACGTGTATACGTAGCAGCGAAAAATTTTTAGGAAACAGTAGAGTTCGGCAGTGGCCTCGACTGGGTGGCTTGGCAACTGGGAACCAGACGAACGCGTCGATAACACGTGCCCGGTTGAAGCTTGCGAGACAAAAACAGTGATTTTCTGCGCTGTTAGCTGTCGCGTTCTTTTAACAGTGATTGGGCGGGATGAAAGCGACAACCTGTGCCCCTGTCGAAGCACATGCTAGAAATTCACGTGTTAGTCTACACCAATCATACTCCTAGGTCTTTCATCTTATTACAAGCTCTATTCAGTCCTAATACACAGATGTGCCCTCCTAAGAATTTGTGTGACCATAATACGTCATTACGAGACCAATCAAGCTTTATGAATTAACTTATTCTTTTTATTTTCATTTTGCCAATGATGAAATGTATATATTATTATGTTCATAATTTAGCCGAATAAGTATATCTTATAAACAATTAGCATGACCAATCTACAACTAAACCAAATATTACTGTATCTTTATGCTGGTAAAATAATTGTTGAAAATGATGCAACAAAATTATGATATAAAAAAATGAGATATGCGTAATCCATTAATAATTCAAAATTAAAAAAGGCATAAAAGCTACAATTTAACTTACATGCATTTTGTCACATTAAATAAAGAATAAATATGATACTCATAATCAATACCACATCAAATATGCTATTTTTATAGGCATTTTTGCATCAATAAGAATGTTCAGCTGCGAGAAAAATTCTTCAAAAGACCCAAATTTTCATAGTAATACTATGAATATTCCTCCTAATATGTTTATTTCACTATATATGTATAATATATCTTATATTATCACCAGTCTTGATAAGTCTTTTTCAATTATATAGAAGACTGGTAAATTCCTGGTTCTATAGCTATATATGTGTATAATTCTAACAAAAGTAATGTATCATCATATTCTTGTTATTTTTTAAACGAGATAAAAATCATATTTCAAGCAATACGATTGGGGAGAAATCCCAGCAAGATGTACATGGAGTTATGGCTCTGACACTGATATCACTATACACCCTAATGCTCACTCAACCGCCCAATCTGAACATGCCCACTACCACTCCATACGCCCAGTGGTCTACATTCACAGCCAACGACCCGCTCGTTACTATCCCACGA